TACCTAGAACAGTGGTGGGAAAAAATGTCCTTGGCTCTGGCGTTACCTGCATTTAAAATGGAGCCCTGGGTTAATCTAATTGAAATAGATTGTGGTAAGCCAACACTTTGTTTGTGTGATTCACACATCTTGCTAATCAAAACAATCTGTTTCAAATTAGAATTTCGATGAACTAGGGCATTTTGCTTTATTCAGTAAATTGTGGTAAAAATCCTGAATTAAACTGTATGAATATAGATGTGTAAAAGAAATGTTTAGCTGTGGCATCAAATCTGTAGTCCCTGTAGTATCCTTATAGTGTAATTTGTTTTGGCATGATCAAAATGTCCTTACTGCAGGGGTGGGTTCTAAATTTTTTTACGATCGGTTCTGTGGGCGTGGCTTATTTTGTGGGCATGGCTTGATGGTCATGTGACAATCCTTTAAGATTTAGCAGAGGTACTGGTCTACCAGGCTTTTAACTGCTTGCAGAGCTGTACCGGTCTACTCATTTGTTTTTGGAGGCACCGGTCTACCCATTTGTTTTTGCAGGCACCGGTCTACTCATTTGTTTTTGGAGGCACCGGTCTACCACCAAACTGCCTTTTACCACTGATCAGCTGTAGGGTGGCCCTTTGAAGCCCCGTGGCAAGAGTTTAAACATTTTTTTTCCTTCTAGCCCATCAGCTGGGACTCAGGAGGCAGCAATAGATTGGGGGTGGGGCCAAATAAAAGGTAAGAATAACGCGGGGGGGCAGAACTGGTTCAGTGACGTCATATCGTCACCGCTACTGGCTCGGCGGAACCTGGAGGAACCCACCACTGCCTTACTGGCAGAATAAATTAATACAAGTCTTGTTTTGATTTAGTCTTCCATTATTGCATTGAACTTGATGAAAAGATCTGAAGTGCGAAGCCCTTGACGTATATGTATATACAGGTAGTCCTCAAGTTACAACCACAATTAAGCCCAACATTTATATTGCAAAGTGAAACATTTGTTAAGTGAGTTTGTCCCATTTTACGACTTTTCTTGCCTCGTTTGTTAAGTGATTCACTGCAGTAGTTAAATTAGTAACACAGTTGTTCAGTGAATCTGACTTCCCCATTGACTTTGCTTGTCAAAAGGTCGCAAAAGGGGATCACATGGCTCCAGGACACTGCAACCGTCGTAAATGGGAGTCAGTTGTCAAGCATGTGTATAACTTAGGTTGAATTATGAGCCCTTGGTCTCTGGCCCTGATTGTTTGCTTGCAGATGTTTCATTACTCAAATAGATACTGATAACATCATCAGTGCTAGTGAATGTAGGGTTTGTTTATATACAGTGATTTCACCTGCCAATGTTGGTGGGCTGATCTGAATACCAAGGAATATGAAAAATTGCACAATCACTCAAGAATTTTTTTAGATTTACTTTTTGAACACATTTTTTCTTATTTGGAGACAGGGTGGATTTGATTTAAATCGAGTTGATTTAAATCACAATTTAAATCATGATTTAAATCACTAGTAAAAAGGCTTGATTTAAATCAACTCGATTTAAATCATAATTTTTAAAGAGCAACTGTCATCTCTGCTACTCTTTTGACCCACGGTTGACTCACCGATAGTCCTAGTTTTGCAGAATATACAGCCTCCTGCTACATAACTAAGCTCCATTTCATGCTGAATAAACTAAATTATTTATGTATCTTAAATAGAAAACTATCTTACGATAGATTTTTACCCCCAAAGTTTTTTATTAAAATAAATTTGATAAAAATCAAAAAAATCCGATTTAAATAAAAAAAATCTGATTTTTTTGATTTTTTAAGAAAAATCATTGATTTTTATCCACCCTGTTTGGAGAAAGATTGCATTTCCAAAATACTAGAATTCATTTTTTAAAATGTTTTAATTCTGTACACATGTTTTTATTGCAGTGTATGCATTATAGTTTACTTACAAATAGCTTTCTAGTGCATACTATAATCATAAGTTGTCTGCATGTATGGGGATATGGGCCCACTTTATAACAGATCATGCTAGATTGCCAAATATAATTCATAATGGTTTTAACAGGTAAAGTTCTCTGCATCTTGATGCCAAGGTATCTTGTGGACCATTTTTTCCAGTCTGAACTGATCCATCCAATACCTTCTTCATAGGAGATGTCCTCAACTTACAACAGTTTGTTTAGTGACTGTTCAAAGTTACAATGGCATTGAAAAAAGACCATTTTTCAGATATATGACCATTTTTCATATATATCCCTTTTGTAACCTTCTGACAAGCAAAGTCCATGGAGAAGTCAAATTCACTTAACAACTGTGTTACTAACTTAACAACTGCAGTGATACACAACTGTGTCAAGAAAGGTAAAATAGAGCAAAACAACAAATGTCTCGCTTAACAACAGAAATGTTGGACTCAGTTGTGGTTGTAAGTCAAGGACTATCTGTATAGGGGCTGAAACCAAGAAACCTTGGTCCTAACCTAATGGAACTTCCCTTTTCACATTAGATGAACCTCCATCATAATGACCACCTGGAAAGCATAGAAGACAGAATTATTTTAGAGGGGTTCTAGTGGTTTAGTGTTTTCTTATAATTTTGGATGGTAAACATTGGAAGTGTTAATGTGTTGTTTTTAAAAGAGATAATTTATAGATAATGATTACATAACTGTTGAAACATTATTGTTTTGCTTTGTCTCTTTCTTACTTTTCCTACCATTTACGGTACTTTGTTTTATGTTCTTACCATGGACATTTAATTATTTGTTTTGTGTTACGAGAACTATGGTTTTTATTGCCTTGTAAATTGCCATGAGTCTGAATTGACGATATCATCATCATCTCTTTATAGACAGACAGACATGTATATTTTTGTTTTTATCATTGTTTTTTTTTATCTAATTGTGTGTTGCCCAAGTTGCTTTCGATGAGATGGGTGGTTATATAAATTTGATTAATAAATAAACTCTCAATGTTGAAGCGAACATGGCTGAAGCCATCTTTTGCTGCCTTACAGTTGCCACGAACCTTGAGATGGGGAAGGGAGGGGGGGAAGTAGATAGACCAGCTACCAGTCAAAACAAAAAGTTTTCTTGTGGGAACCAAGGTCATTTCAACAGGTTGAAGGGGGAGAGGAGTGACCAAGCAGCCTGCCAGCTATTTTCATTGGACAATGTGACCGGTGACATCTGGGATAAGGAACTTTTGCTCTTTTAATTAGGTGAAAAACCTCAGAGTGTTTTTTAGAGTTGGTTTTCACCGGCTGTGCCGATATGATGTATCCAATAAACATGCTCTTTGAGGAATCTATATATCTCGGAGTTCTGCTTTTGGTGGGTGCATTACTGACATAACGCTGACATAAACATATAAATAAAAGACATTAAACTCGGTTTAGCGTAAACCATGGATGAGAGTTCAACCCAAAGATCCCATAACATGTAACATAGACATCACGGAAGTATGAAAATAGAGCAAAGAAAGTTCTCTGTTGACTTAACCAGTTTCAGATAGCAAGCCACATCCTGGTTAAGATAAACTAATCATGCTTCTGCCTTAGCCATGATTTAATGTTACATATTTGAGTGTAGACTCAATGCATAGGATATTTTGTCTATTGGGTCTGTATTTGTTCTAATATTTGTGTTTAAGAAGCACAATAGAGCTCTTTCTCAGCATTGCTGATAATTAGGAAGTTTAATCTCTTTTGGGAATGCTTGTCATATTTTTATCTAGCTCTGGCTTAGGGTTGATTGCTGGGAGATATTTTAATGTTTGATTCTGTTTTGTACTGTAAGACTATCGTGCTTAGTTTTCATTTATCTTAAAAGAATGTGAAACTGACTGTTGCCGAGTTAAATTAGTCTTCTCTAATGTGGTAGTCCTGAATTCTGTGGTTTTTTTTAAGAGTGCTTATTTTTATAATACTGTATTACTTTGAAAATGCTTGTTTGTGCTACCTGGAGTTCCTCCATATCTACACTTAGTAAATTAAGTGGTGTAGCCTTATTTATTTTGACCATGTTAAATTTTGTCTGCCTTTGATAAAACAGTTCAACTTTGGGTAAACTTAATATGTGTTATGTGAAATGTTAATTTGTTGAGTCTTGTTTTGAGACAGACTATGAGAAATTGTTCTCTTCAAGCTGATATTTTTTTGTTCAGGAAACTTCTTTGGGACTGAAAAGTATTCAGGCTAGCCAAACACTTATAAAAAGCAAGCATGGCTGTTCAGTCTTTACAGAATGCGAGCTTCAGAACGCTGGAGGAAAAGAACGTATGTTGCAAAAAACCGAAACAAAACCCTGCTTTGCTTATTTTTTTCCTACTGTTTACTTGCAATTATATTGTTTATTCATATTAACATTTTTTTTTCCTGTACCCAACAACTTCGATTTTTTTATTTTGTATAATGAGGCCATGTTTTGCTTCGCTAGGGAAATCTATTCGAGGCATAACTAGCTATTTAGAGGAGACCATGTTGGGATTAGGGGTCTTTTTGGAAATGATTCAACTGAATTTAAAAATACTTTTTGGAGCTATAGTGGGGTTTTTTTTGGGGGGGGGGTTGATTCAGGGAATTACTCCAAATGTATTATTGGTTGCTTTTAATTTTGAGGATGTATCAACAATCCTTTTTGCTCCCAAGTTCATACTTTGCTCTAGAGCAGTGTTTCTCAACCTTGGTAGCTTGAAGATGGGTGGACTTCAACTCCCAGAATCCCCCAGCCCAGCGCTGGCTGGGGGATTCTGGGAGTTGAAGTCCACCCATCTTCAAGCTACCAAGGTTGAGAAACACTGCTCTAGAGCTTCCTGGCTAAAGACACCACTGTTTCTGCAGGTCAAATCGGATCAGAATCTTATGACACTTTTTGTTTATGACATCAACAATAATTTGATCATTCTCTTCAATTCTAGCTAGCCTATACATTTAAAATAGCTGTGCAGAAAAAAAAAATATTCCATATTTTTTTGCAGAACTAATACAATATAAATTTTATGTTATTTTTTTTTCCACTCCTAGATTTTCAGCTGAACTCTCATCTATCAACACTGGCAAATATTCACAAGATTTATCATACTCTTAATAGGCTGGTAATTGCTTACATTTTTGAAAAATCATGGTTAAATAGACATTTAAATATTCTTCCGTTATTATTTTGCAATCGGCAACAAAGACCTGTGTAAATTCAACTGTGTGTACTTTCTTTTGAGCTAATCCTTTCTTCAATATTCATCTTTAGATTAATATTCAAACTTTAGATGCGCAACTGGTATGTTCATTCATTCTTCCATTAAACAAATACCCCCTGAGTCCACATATCTTAGGATTCTTATCCTGCTATTCCTATTACCCTATGTAGTCTTGCCCACTTGTAGGTTGCATATTAGTATAATAAGCATGCTGTAGGATTATCAGAAAAGAATGAAGCCAGAGCCAAAGTCTTTCTTAATAAGTTTTAATACTTTGAGGTTTTAGGTAATAGTTCTATTATTTAGATATATACTTGTTTGTGTGTTTTAATATGATAACTCAATTGAATTTCTGACCCTAAGGACTCTTAGGTTATTCAGAGTTGCTTATTCCTTTCAAAATACATATATAATGTATCGAATTTAAATAAGACATTAAAACACATATCAAGCTATTACTCTGCCCCTTTCTTTTTGGAAGCATTAGGAAGCTTGCGTATCACAATGATATGGTCAATTGTTGAAGCGTTTACAACAGGAGCTGAGAATTATCAAAGCGTTGATTTTTGTCGTGGTTTCACAGATAGAGAAATGAAGCTAATTCATTAATTACTAATGGGAGAAGATGGCAAGGGAGTGAGGATCACAGACAGAAAGCAGAGCTACCTAATTCATTCTTTGCATCTGTCTTCAAGCCAGGGGGAAAAAATAGCACAAACTGCCAAAAACAGAACAGTAAAAGACAAACTAGGAATACAATTTAAAATAGGCAAGAGAATGGTAAAAGAATACCTGTCACTCTAGATGAATTCAGATCACCAGGACTGGATGTATTACATCCCAGAGGTCTGAAGGAGTGATTAGAGGTGATTTTGGAACCTTTGAACCAGTTCTGTCAATGATCCTGGGACATTGGAGAACTACCAGAGAACTGGAAAAGAACTGATGTAGTTCCCATCTTCAAAAAAAGGGAAAAATCGATCTAGGAAACTACAGTTCAATCAACCTGAAATCAATACCTGGGAAGATCCTGGAAAAGTATAGTATAGTTTACTTTATTGTCATTGCACATGGTACAACAAAATTAAATGCCATCTTCAGTATACATTATAACTATAAAAATAAAAACACAAACATACATCCTTTACATTCTATATAATTGAAATTGAAAACCCAATATTGCGCTATGACTATACCATAGAATTCAATATGGTTATTGCCCTGGGATAGAAGCTGTTTTTCAGCCTATTTGTCTGAAATAATAAAAAGATAACAAACAATTGATCTCCGAACACTTAGAAGCAAGCAAAATTTATAATCGGAAGCGAGTATGCGTTTGTCAAAAACAGATCATGCCAAGCAAATTTTATTTCATTCTTTGACAAAGTGACTAAATTAGTGGACCATTGAAATGCTGTGGACATAGTATTCTTAGATTTCAGTTAGGCATTTGACAAAGTAGACCACAGCCGTCTTCTTAGTAAGTTAGAAAAATGTGGGATAGACGGCATCACCATCAGATGGATTTGTAACTGGCTTACAGACCTCACTCAATGTGTATTCCTTAATGGAACTACATCTATATGGAAAGAAGTAAGCAGTGGGGTACCCCAAGTTCTGTCTTAGACCCAATACTCTTCAATATCTTCATAAACGATTTAGATGAGTGAGTAAAAGGGAACTCTGTCTGCTGCACCCAAAAAGGTCAGGTCAATTCTAGGCTGCATTAACAGGGATAGAATCAAGATCACATGAGGTGTTAGTATCACTTTATAAAACCTTAGTAAGACCACACCTGGAATATTACGTCCAGTTTTGGACTCCACAATATTAAAAAAAAATGTAGAGACTCTGGAAAAAGTGCAGAGAAGAGGTACAAAGATGATTGGGGGTGGGTGGGGGTGCTAAAACATATAGGAATTGGCTATGCCTAGTCTAGTGAAAAGTAGGCCCAGAGGTGACATGATAGCAGTGTTCCAATATTTGAGAGGCTGCCACAAAGAAGAGGGGACCAACCTATTCTCTAAAGCACCTGAAGGCAAGACAAGAAGCAATGGATGGAAACTAATCAAGGAGAGAACCAACCTAGACCTAAGGAGAAATTTCCTCACAGTGAGAACAATTAACCAGTGGAATGGGTTGCCTTCAAAAGTTGTGGGGGCTCCATCACTGGACGTTTTTAAGAAATGATTCGGCAGCCAGAATGATGTAGGGTCTCCTTGTGCAAGGGAGATTAGAAGATCTCCAAAGACCTTCCAACTTCTGTTAAGCTGCTTTTCGCACTCCCTGCTCTTTGGCTAAACCAGCACCAGCAATCTTTTCCCCACATGCTTCCAGCTAATAGTAATAACTCCCTTGGACTTCCAATGGGTGAACCAACAAAAGGAGATAGGTTTAAAATCACGCACGCAGGTCTTTGAGGGAAGTAAAACTCCAGCATTGCCTTTGTTCATTTGGTGGATCTCATAGTTTACAATTCAGAGATTTTCACTCTTTTCAAATAGACTTGTAGCACATGCTTGAGCTTGCTCTGGACCTTCTTTTACTTGATATAATCCAAAATTTAGGGAGGGCACTTGGTTGCTTAGTATCTGCTCCAAGACTAGACCATTTATATCCTAATTCCTGTATTATTTTAACCCAAAGGAGCATTTAATTCCACTGTTAATATCAGTTACAAAATCAGGCTGCATTCATCGTGCTGACTTTTTGGGGGAAATCAGTCTACAATGTCTTATTCATTATTTGCTTATATGGATAAGTTGTTTGAAAGTGAGATGAAATCTGGAACTTTGTTGAACCCATGCATATTGCAGTAATTAAAGGGAAATAACAGAACAAGAAATTAATGACAATTTTTATGATAAAACACTTAAGAAATTTCATCTAGAATAATTTAAAGCAGAAAGTTCACACGTTTTCCCTCAGATAAGAGAGGCAGTCATAACTTTGACATTTAAATCTGATGAGGGAAAGTAGTAGGCCAGAATAAGATAGCTGTCAATATATGAATCTACAAAGCAATATCGAAACTCCCAGTTAATTAATTTATTTATTTTTTTTCAGAATTTGACAGAAGATACTAGTCAAGACGATCACCAAACAGGTAAAGTTCTTACGTTTATATGCATTACAGAATTTTTAAGAATGTTGAGTGAAAAGGAAACCTTATTAAGTTTTTATTTGTTAGGCAAATTTGTATCATCCTTTAATTTCTATCAAAATGGAGGAGAAATCCTTCCCAGGATTTATAAAATGATGTGATAGATTGTTTTGAAGGTGTAACAATGTGTATTCCGTTATTTAATATTATAGCAATTACTTTTTATATCTAGTAAAAGTTCAGTTAAAACAGATTGCTGTAGGCTATGTTAAAAACATTTGATTAATCATGGTTTGTTTAATTATCTGCAGTGAATAAATCAGAGTGGCAAGTTCCCATGACATATAAATTATAACCCCCAATACACAAACTGTTGTAACTGAGTTCGCAAAATATGCTAAAAAACCTTCCAAACAATTCCCATTACAGATGCTAATATATTATACATTTGTATATTATATTAGGCCTTTAGGGGCATTGCACATCTGAATGTTCTCTGCTGATGTTTCAGTGTGGTTTAAAAAGTCTTCAGTTTGATTGATAAGTTTTGCGAGAAAGTATAACTTGATGAAATAAGATAATTAAATAACATCTACCTATTTTCATGTCTGTCTCTTTTTCCTACATTCCCTTGCAGGAAACCTGAGATCTTGCAGTTCATCAGACAGCTTTAGCAAAGTGATGCCTCCAAGAAAAAAAAGGCGACCTACAACAGGAGATGATCTGACAGCTAAAAAAAGTAGACACGATGGGTACGTAACCTTTCCTATTCGGTCATTATTCAATTAAGAAACATGACATTTGGAAGAGCAGCGAACCAGGAGAAGATGGTTGAACTTTCAACTCCATGAGCAGCTTATTTAAATGAAATTTCTAGGCTTTCTTATGCTCTGCAGCCTGGCATAATATACTCTCATTATTTTAAGAGTTATCGTCAATGCTACTTATTCCTCCATAAGAAGTTATTTAGGAGGACAGATTTCTCCATAGATTTTATAATTTGACCTATGTAGTCTACATACTTTGATTATGGTGGGTGAGTGGCAAGACGATAAAAAACCCTATAAAGCAGAAATCTCACAATGGTGAGCCTCAATTTGTAATAAGTAAGTGAAGTAAGATTTGGTAAGCAAGATTTGTTTCCTGCTTCTGGTTGTACATGAAAATAGTTGGGAAGAAATATTTTGGATCTCAATTCAGCACACAGCATTTCTGTTCATTAAAGCAGCCTAATCTTTTTTCCCCTGGGCTTCAGTGCAAATCAGAAAAAAGATCCTTGTGCTGTAAGGTCGCAGCTGATTTCATAAAGCAGCCGCTTCTTTTTCTAGGATCATGCCATCTGTTGCATCTGTTTAAGGCCTGTCTTGAAAGTGCTTTAAATTTCAGTGTAGAATTTGGAAGTTCATGTAAATGATCTTATAAAATTATTCAGTGTCAGAATTCTGAAAGTGAGTGGGTTGACCAGGGACCAGAAGTTACTTGGAAGGCTTGCAATCTATCGACATTGGCATATCGTTTTATAGAACTGTGAAACGCCCATGTTCTTAAGCTTTTTCTCTATTTTTTTTCAGCGTGTACAGAAAATATGATTCTACCAGAATAAGGTCAGAAGATGATATGTTTTCAAGTAAAAGGTGTTTAGAATGGTTCTATGAATATGCAGGCAAGTGTTCGCATCTGCACATTTCTTAAATATTACTAGCCAAGAATTTGAAAGGAAAAATCAATTTGAAGTATTAAAATAGTCAACTTTTTAATTAAATGAGGATGACTTCAAATAATTGTATCTTTCTCCACAAGTGCATCTTAACTTTTGACTTGAAATTATAGTCAGTTTTGCAGATACTTAATAGATCCATTTTTGAAAATTCAAAGGTAGTTTTGAGGTGCTGTATATTAAACACTTGAAGCGTATTTCTTTTTGGTTAATTGGAGCAGTGGATGTGAATCTGCAATAAAGTAAATAATAACATTTGATTCTGTTTTGAGGAACCTTTGGGCTCTTTGAATATTTGCATGTTGTGACAGCTGTATCTTGTGGGATTGAGATAGAGAAAGGAGTTTTTGATCTTTGGACCTGCACTTCCTCCTGTGTGCCTAAGCAATGTTCAAGAAATCACATCCTGTAAGAGCTGCTCTTTTGTATGGTCCAGTCATTTGGACTTTAGTAATCAAGCGATTGTAACTTTTGAGTAGAAAATAATCTTTGTCATTTACTTGTAGGAACAGATGATGTTGTGGGTCCTGAAGGAATGGAGAAGTTCTGTGAGGACATAGGGGTTGAGCCAGAAAACGTAGGTTCAGGTTCATTTATCGGTGGTAGGGAACCAGTTTGTGCTTCATCCATTTCCATTTTTAAAAAAATGTGATTTACTCGTTCTGTCGCTCTATCCTAAACCTGATGAGGAACTTAGCACATTGCTGGCACAGTGTGTTTATGCATTAAATAATTGCCAAATATGGTTCTGTTACCCTCTAGCATGTGGGCAGCTCTAACGCACAACTTCCATTTGTGATTAGATAATTGTAGCTCAGTGGCTAAGACGCTGAGCTTGTCGGTCGAAAGGTCGGCAGTTCAGCGGTTCGAATCCCTAGTGCCGGGTAACGGGGTGAGCTCCCGTTACTTGTCCCAGCTTCTGCCAACCTAGCAGTTCGAAAGCACGTAAAAAATGCAAGTAGAAAAATAGGGACCACATTTGGTGGGAAGGTAACAGCGTTCCGTGCACTTTTGGCATTGAGTCATGCCGGCCACATGACCACGGAGACGTCTTTGGACAGCACTGGCTCTTCGGCTTTAAAACGGAGATGAGCACCGCCCCCTAGAGCCGGGAACGACTAGCACATATGTGCGAGGGGAACCTTTACGTTTACCTTAATTGTAGCAAATGGTTCCATATGTCCATGCATGCAGGATGTATGTGATAGTGTATAAATGTATACTTTCCAGTTTGTTTAGGAATACATACATCCAGAAACAATGTTGACTTGCATTTGGATGGCATACTTAAAAATTTGCTCTGTTAGCAAGCTATCACAAGAAAATCATTCCTTCACCTACCAATGCAATAAAACATTGGGCATATGTGGAGCAGAAATCAGATGCATTTACCGTTTGACTGTTTTACGCTAATCATGATATGAAAGTGGCCATTGAAATGATTCAATATTATATTTATTATGTTTTCTGAACAGAAGAAATAAATTTCTGGAAGTCATTTTTCCTTTTTATAGTTGTTGTTTTTATTATTATTATTATTTATTGAATTTTTATACCACCCTTCTCCCGAAGGATTCAGGGCAGTGCACAACCACGATAAAACCAATAGTAAATAAAAATTAAAATTAATTAAAACAAATTAAATAATCTGGTCGAGAACATAATTAAAAATTAAAATTTCCCAATTAAAATTAAAATTTTTTTTAGGCCAGCCCAGCTTGCTGGAATAAAAGCGTCTTGAGGGCCCGGCGAAAGATGCGAAGGTCGGGGATCCTCCGTATCTCCGGGGGCAATTCGTTCCAGAGGGCAGGTGCCCCCACAGAGAAGGCTCTCCCCCTGGGGGTCGCCAGTCGACACTGTTTGACCGACGGCACCCTGAGGAGTCCCTCTCTGTGGGAGCGTACTGGTCGATGGGAGGCTATCGGTGGCAGAAGGCGATCTCATAGGTACCCAGGTCCTAAGCCATGGAGCGCTCTAAAGGTGGTAACCAACACCTTGAATCACACCCGAAAGGCCACCAGGAGCCAGTGCAGCTCGCGCAGGCAAGGTGTTACATGGAAGCGCTGCGTCGCTCCCATAATCACCCGCGCGGCCACATTCTGGACCAGTTGAAGCCTTCGGGTGCTCTTCAGATATTTTTGTCTTTCCACTCATCCCTTGAATGCCAACACTGGCAATAATATCCCCTGCCCTTTTTCAAGTCTAAATAGTTGAAAAAAACGGAGCCGTGTATCCCTTCTGCCCTATCCCTGCTTGCCAATACAAGGCTTTGAAAACGAGATGCATTAAGAAAAGCGTCGAAGAAATAAAAATTCTTATGTAAACTTTGGGATCTTTTGTTTATTTTTATACCAGGTAGCCATGCTTGTGTTGGCTTGGAAGTTGGATGCTCAGAACATGGGCTATTTTACATTGCAAGAATGGCTAAAAGGAATGACATCCCTGCAGTAAGTATTATTTCTTTTAACAAATGTGAAATAGCTCCAGTAGCGATCATTGTCCTCTTGTAAAGTTAATCTTGCATTAAAAAAAAAAAAAAAACTGTACTGTCTTATCCAGTCATTTTGTGAAGATGGATGTAACATCTAAGAGCTGTGGTGCAGTGGTTAGAATGCAGTTGGTACTGCAGGCCAACTCTGCTCACTGCCAGGAGTTCGATCCTGACCGGCTCAAGGTTGACTCAGCCTTCCATCCTTCCGAGGTCGGGTAAAATGAGGACCCAGATTGTTGGGGGCAAGATGCAGACATTTGTAAACAGCTCAGAGAATGCTATAAAGCACTAGGAAGCGGTATGTAAGTCTGACTGTTATTGCTATATTTTTCTGAATATTTATTTATGTGGTTTTATTTACTGTTCATTCCACGAGACTTGAGGCAGATGATAAAGAATAAAAGAAATATATTCAATAAAATTGGGAGCACTCAGTATTTAAAATCTTATACTTTGGGGGCCTAAAACATTGTGGAACAACTGGTTTTTAAGCACTTCCAGTTGTAATCAGAGTCTTACCATGCCATCATGGTGAGACTCACCATGCCCCCCTCCCTGGCCTACTTGCCACTCATCTCACTTGTACAGTTAGCGATGGCTAACTTTTTTGCTGTCGCATGCCAAAAGCGCGGGTCACATGGGGGTGTGTGGTGTGGTCGTGCGCACGCATGCCCACACCCATAATTCAATGCGCCCCCCTCCCGCACAATGCGTGTGCAACCATCACCCTCTTGTTCCCCACGCTTTTGGCATGTGATGGCACGGTGGGCCCAGTAGGCCCGTTTTTTGCCCTCCCAAGGCTCCAGAGTCTTTCTTGGAGCCAGGGGAGGGCAAAAACGGCCTCCTCCCCCGGAGTCCCTCCAGAGGCCGGAAACAACCCATGGGACCGGAAGACCCGTTTTTCGCTCTCCCCAGGCTTGCCGGAGCTGAGCTAGGGCAACGTTCGCGTGCTCACCGATATGATTCCGCGTGCCACAGTGGTGGGTTTCAATTTTTTTTACTAACGGTTCTGTGGGCGTGGCTTGGTGGGCATGGCAGGGGAAGGATATTGTAAAATCTCCATTCCCACCCCACTCCAGGGGAAGGTTATTGCAAAATCCCCATTTCCTCCCGATCAGCTGGGACTTGGGAGGGAGGAAATAGATGGGGGCAGGGCCAGTCAGAATTTTTACTACCGGTTCTCCGAACTACTCAATATTTCCGCTACCAGTTCTCCAGAACTGGTCGGAACCTGCTGAAACCCACCTCTGGCGTGTCACTTGTGGCACGCGTGCCATAGGTTCACCATCACAGCACTATCTGCTTCCAGAACCTCTACCAGCTAATGATCACTCTTTCCCCTGAAATCCTTCTCCCACTAGGTCCCAAGTAATGAGGGTTGAAGCCCCTTCCCTCCTCCTGGGGGTGGGGAGCAATTTACTGTGCCCCACATGTCTTAGGAGACTGCCCTGGATCTTCCCCTTATGTGTGCAGTAGATGGGTTTCTCTCACATGCTAAGTGAAGAAACTGCTGTTGCGCATTGTCATTTTGTGGGAGTTGTTTTGGAAATAAGATTTTTCACATCTTAAAAACAAGGGATTTACAACTTGTGGGGTGATTTGCAGCAATCTTGGCTCGTAACATTTGAATCGCTGTTCATGACGATTATTAACTTTACAGGTGTGACACAACAGAGAAGCTAAGAAATTCTTTGGATTACTTGAGATCTTTATTAAACGAGCCTATGAATTTTAAGCTTATTTATAGATACGCGTTTGACTTCGCACGTGTGAGTAGCCTGAAATTCTGTTAAATCTTCTAGTAAATCCTGGCCAGAATGAGAAAACCTCAGGGGTGCTTTATTTTCTCTCCTAAATTGTTTGCTCTTGGTTGGAAATGGAGGGAAGAAACAAACCTTGCTTATCTGAAAGGCAAAATACATTACATTCTAGTTCGAAGCATATAGTGAGGAGGAACCCACCTCTGTTTCTGACCCATTGCAGGCCATCAGGATTTGCAAAATACAACCTGTCCAAACCATGCATGTTGTCCCAGAATCTTCCCTTACCAAAATTGTATTTTTTAAAAAATCACGTTAATAATGTCATTGAATGTTCTACCCACCGTTTTTGCCCTCAAACCAATCTTGTATGTCATGAAGTGATGTTATTTTGAAACATTTTCATATCTTCAATATTTAATAGGACAGGAAGGGGAAGTATTAAATATATGGGAAGTTGCCATATGATGTGTTAAATGAAAATTAAAATACTAAAGTGTTAATTTTTTAAATGGTTTCTCTTGGCTCTTCCTGCTTCTGAGATTGTGGAGTCCAGAAGAGGCCTTTAGTCTAAAACATATATATATCCCTGGTCTTTGAAGTTGATTATTGTAACAATAAAAAATCACTATTCCTTTGTATTATCTTAATCATAGGATGGAACGATATAATGCATGCAGATAGGAATATGTCTCTTAGTATGTGAACAAGTCACTTCCTGGGGTTGGATGTATGTCTTCATACTGAAGATAACATTAAATACTTTAACAAACTCTAGAAAGAGTGCAGAGAAGAGTAACAAAGTTGATAAGGGGTCTAGAGGCTAACCAGTATCATTAATGGTTAAGGGGTCTAGATATTCTTAATCTAATAAAGAGAAGGATTAGGTAGCTGTCTTTTGGTGCTGGAGGGCCTATCACAGGAAGGAGAGGGTCAGCTTATTCTCCAAAATACCAGATTGCAGGACAAGAAGCAATGGATGGAAGTTTGTTAAAAAGAGATCTGGAACAAAGGAGGAATCTCCTGAAGTAAGAACAATTAATTAAAATCTTTAGGAAACCTAGCTTGACTGCACATCCATTGATGAAAACAAAAAACAAAGGAATGCTAGATAAAGATAAGAGCTGGATTAGACTTTTTTGAGGAATAAATTGATGTGGGTTTTAGCTCAACTAAGCAAGATTACAAGTATTTTTTTGTTCCTTCTGACAGGAAAAAGATCAGCGAAGCCTAGATATGAATACTGCCAAGTGTATGCTAGGACTCCTCTTAGGAAAAACATGGCCCCTCTTTCCAGTATTTCATCAGTTCTTAGAGGTACAAGTAGAAAATAACTTTTTCTATGTGTGTTTTTTTAAATGCAGCATTAAAATTAAAATTGAGAATTGACAGTGAATTAATTGAAAATATTGTTACCCAATATTTACAATTACAATTAACACAAATACTTATATATGATTTTTATTTTTTTTTTTGGCTTGGAATTTTTGCTCGAAGTGATGTCCATTAACTTGAGGTTTGCTTCTTAAATTGTGTTTTTATTGTAATGATGTCTTTTACATCAATTACCCTGTTTCCCCCAAAATAAGACATCCCCTGATAATAAGCCCAATCGGGCTTTTGAGCACATGGCAATAAGGCCGAGCGCTTATTTCAGAGTTCAAAAAAATATAAGACAGGGTCTTATTTTCAGGGAAACACGGTAGGTAATTATGCAAATGTAGTAGATGTAAATGATGGACATCTGGATCTAATGGATGGACACTCCATTCTCTAAAGCAGGGGTGTCAAACTCCCGGCGTCAAGGCAGCATCGTGATGTATCATGACTTTTTCCCCCTTTGCTAAACTTGGCGTGGGCGTGACCAGCGCGTGACGCATCTGGCCTGCAGGTCATGAGTTTGACAGCCCTGCTCTAAAGTGATCCATTATATTGAGGCTGATACGGAAAGTATCTATTTGTGATTTCTGAAAAAGAAGAGCAGGCCACAGTATTATGCAGGCTTGCTTACTGTGAAAGAGGCAAAGATTTCTTTAAAATTCCCCGTGCAATGTATCCCAGAAAAATGGATTTTTGATGATAACCTCCCTTTATCTGGGTTTGTTTTGGTTTGGGGGGGGGGGGGGAGATAATTTCTGTTATGCTTGGTAGCCTTAAATGTTATTGCTATAATATTTATATTATAGAATATCACACCGTCTACATTACATTTGCAAAATTAGCTTTTGCATTTTAAGATCCCGGCGACTTTGTTCAAAAGGCGTTTTGAATAACTGCTGTTTTTGTTTTAAGTAGCAATCTAAGTACAAAGTTATCAACAAGGACCAATGGTGCAATGTTCTGGAATTCAGCAGATCCATTAATCTTGACCTCAGCAATTACGACGAAGACGGAGCATGTACGTATATACGGTCAGGAAAGACAAAGAATCATTTCACATCATATCTGTGATCTCTCTATGCCTTTTTGTGTTTCTGTAATACATATATATATATATATATATATTTTACAAAAATGTTTCCTTCTTTCTTTAAGGGCCAGTGTTGCTGGATGAATTTGTGGAGTGGTATAAAGAGAAACAAATGACATAGGAATTTTAACTATGCACAGCTGCTCAAGAGCCTTTGTTACTACAGTTAATGTCAACCATTAGCCATAAACTTCTCTTTGTATATAAAGCGCATGCGGCTTTTCCTGCACTGTATCCCATTTTCAGGGATTTTTTTGGGTGTTTGCTGTTTAACAAGCCAGCTCTGCTTGCTGTGTACCATTGTTCTCTCCGAAAGGCTGCTTTGCATTTTGTCTCTACACTACAGATGGTGAAGTTGCCAGCATCCTCACTGTGACTAATGTGAATATTGCTGTCTAAACTTTGTATATGTGTATAAAAAAAAAAAAAAGCTTCATCTAGGAATGATTTCAGCAGGAAAGGTATTATAAAAAATAATTTTGTCGCATTCAAGTAACCATGTAACTTAATTTTTAATTGACTTGGTCTCGGGCCTAGCATTTCAGGGAAAGTGATTGTGGGGGGGGAGGGGTTTGTCTAGGTAGAACTATTGCTAGTTTAGTAATAGTTGTTTTAGGATGCCAGTTTTTGAAGGAAAATCTTGCAGCATGGTTTCCTTGGCAGTGCCCAACTTCATTTTTATTTAATAAGCAATTATTGGCTACCGTTTTAATTGAAACTCTTAATGAATTGTTACAGCTTGAACAGAGTTGTACACGCCATAGTAACTTCCATTGGGTGATAATAGTCAGATGCTGTAGTTTAGTAAGAGGTACAGGTGATCGAATTAAACATTCTGATTTAAAAGGGTTTTAGACTTGTAATGTGGCATATTCTTCTATTTTACTGTTAGTCTTGTTCCCAGAGTGTTTTGATGATCTGGATAAAGACAGAATGAAGTCTTGTTTCAAAACACAGCCTAAATGTATGAATGTATTTCAGAGACTGGAATCAAAGCTTAGCCTGAAAACTTGGCATGGCTGCGTTTAATGTTCCAGGGATTGAATTTCCTGGCAAAATGCCAATTACAAGCAACATCTAATCAAGCAGCATCACTATTTATTTGGCACTATCTGTTTGGACTGGAAAGTCCAAAGAAATAGATGAATGAAGTAACTTCCTGTGTCACCTTTTCATCAGTCTTCATAATACAGCTCAATGTACATTTCTATAATTTTTTTTTTTTACTAAGGTAGCTTACAGACTTATTGAAAATGCACTCAAAAATCCATTGGTCTTTGTTCAATCAACCAAGAGTTCATTGTGAAATTTGCAATAAAACATGAGCTTGCCTTTTCTTTTACAGAAAGTTAAAACTACATGAACATTCAGAATTTAGGAATATAAATTAGCAATAGCAATAGCACTTAGACTTATATACCGCTTTACAGTGCTTTACAGCCCTCTCTAAGCGGTTTACAGAGTCAGCCTATTGCCCCCAACAATCTGGCTCCTCATTTTACCCACCTTGGAAGGATGAAAGGCTGAGTCAACCTTGAGCCTGGTGAGATTTGAACTGCCAGATTGCAGGCAGCCGGCAGGCAGCAGAAGTAGCTTGCAATACTGCACTCTAACCACTGCACCACCATGGCTCATCCAAATTAAGCTTAAATAACAAATTAGTACAAACCACTTATTTTTATTTTCAAAGTACTGAAGGCATTTGTAAAGAAAAAAAAAAGATGTATATCATAAACAAGCATAGCTTCTTTAGGATTGGACACTTCTAAAGAAACAAAATAAGAAAAATAAAGGACTGGAATCCAAAGAAATCCACATGCAAATGTGAATTCTGCCCAGAACAGGAGCTGTGGGAATGGAGCTTTTCTTTCTTTCTTTCTTTCTTTTTTCTTTTGATGCCTTCATGAGCTTCAGAAGGCTTAGGAGCAGGGATTGAGTGGGGCAGAGCTACACAATCTGTTGACCAGGTAGTAAGACTGGAAATGGATGCAGTTATAGTACTTAGATGGACTTTTCACAGGCTATCACTTCTGTTGTCCATTTCCCGCCCCCCCCCAAAGTAGAGCTGGAAGTTGGCTGTGCCAATCTCTGTTGAGAACAGACAAGTAATACCATGAACAAGTTTGTGCTCCCTCCAATACCTCCTGACCTACCTTATTATTTAGTATAGCCATAGTCAAAACCTGATAACTGTCCAACTGGGAAGATACAAATACTGGATACAAATACTTGGATTAGAGGCTAATTTTGTTGAGACCTAAAAGATTTTCAGTAACAAAGGTAACAGCCAAAGAACTTTATGAGATCTAGTTTTGATAAAGAAAAGTATAAGGTTAACAAACTTGTGTCTAGTTCATTCTTGGGAGTGACTCTCACTTTTTCTATTTGCATGTGAATATTAATATACAAAGCAAAAACACCTGATCAAGTGGTAGGGAGGACACACTTCAAAATTGTACTGTCTTCCATTTAAAAATGAAGTATCAATTGGGGGTCAGTTAAATAATGACCAAAGGGCAGAAACTGTTAAAATAATGGCCAAAGGGTAGAAACTGCAGTCTCTTTTGCTTTGTTCGTGACAGGCCTCTTCTGTTTATCTGTTTATGGCTCCTATTACAAAGTTGATCAAGAGACTTGCGTGTCTTATGTTTTGCTCTCAACAATCACACACACACAGAGAGAGAGAGAATTGGCCTTGCCTGTAAAAGCAGGCTCATCTAAAACGTAATTATTAAGGACACTGTGCTCACAACTTTTGTGATATACAAAGGAAAATGAGAAAAGATCCACTTGGTATATGGGTCAGAATTGTATTTTTTGAGTTTTTGAAATTCTGACCTCCCTATTTAACCAATCATGCTCAGAATGGCCCTGATTCCTTGGGGGGGAAATGGCATTTTCTGGAAAACTCTTTATGTAATGCTGTCCGAGTAAAGTTAATCAAAGTTGTTCATTTTGCATACATTTTGAATTTTTGGCATCTTTTTAAAATAGTATGATTGATTTTGTTGTTGTTAAAGGAAAAAAGGCCGTACACTGAATTGGTTAAAGTTGAAAATATCTTTTCTACAGAATGCTATCAAGATGTGTGTGCATTATTCTAATGTGAAATTCTTAAAGCTTTTTAAATGACCAAGTGAATAAAGATACATGAATGGTCGAATGGCCCATAAAAAGACTGTATATTGTCCAGTACCAAAGACTGATGAATCTTTTATGCTTTTTACCTTTCAGGATCAGAAATGGTATTATCAATTCTAATACCTACTATTATTTTTACCATTTTCTTTTTGGGGTCATGGTCAGATAAATTCAAATTGAATACTGAAAATGTAACCATCTGAAAAATTTTTGGTTTGTACAAAACCAAATGATCTGTGCTTTTTGTAAACGTGAGGAACAAAATTGTGAAAGCGTTCCATAAATTTACTTTAGTATAAATTTACATAAAGCATTTAATTAAACGTGAATAGTTTTCTGCTTTCCTTTTTAAATTCATATCAGTCTCATGCTGAGACTTCGCATACATTTTACTACATAAACACATTATCGTTTTAATTCTGTGCTTGTAGTTAAAATTTTCTCCTACTCTCTTAAGAATTGGCAACTTTTCCCCCCTTACCACTTTTAGAGAAACCAGCATATAATATTGTTGAATTCATAATGGGAGAACTTCTAACAATACTTAGATATTTGGTAATATTAATTACTGATTCTTAAGTGCTTCATAATAATAAAGATTTGGTTTGTGTCTGAGTAAATGGCAAGTGTTAAAATACCTACTGATAGCCTTAAACTTTGTCCTTCTCATATGGTTGTTTAAATGCATAGTTACTTCACTGATTTACACTGACTTTCTGGGAAACTTTAAAAAAATGTGTTCTGTAATACCCTGTTGTGACAGATGCAGTTTACCTGCTTTTTTGTCTTTAAAGTTTCCATATGGCATACCTGAAGTGCGCACTTTGGCTTACTGCAATTGTGTCACCTCCTTGGAATTTGATAGTGTAGTTGTGTACAAATTATATTATCTTGCTAATAAAAACTTGATTCAGTCTTGATAACATGCATTTTAAAAAAAAATTCTAGAGCGGCGTTTTTGAAACTTTTGGCAACTGTAAAGTCCCAACATGTGGACTTCAGTTCCCAGAATTCCCCAGCCACTTCCAGGACACATCTTAAACCTTCCAAGTTTGAAAAAAAATATTGCTCTAGTCTAGAGGTATGTGTGTTGTGCCTACAGCTGTCTATGCCAGCCGATTTTGCCCAAGGAGAGAGCAGGAATTGGTCAATCCCAAAGTACCTATATAGGATGTTATTGGTTCTAATTTGAAGATCACAAGCTAAGTCTACTTCATGTTCCCAATGCATTCTGATTCACGCTGAGTAATGTTTCAGCAGCTACATAACAACACTTATTACACAGGACATGGGCAGTTGGAAGAGAGAATCATTTTAGAGCTACGTACATCCCCATGTACAAGTTTGGGGACAATTCAGAGTTAAACAAAACAGATCAATTTATATTGTTTATTTAAATGGACATTTTACAAATACACGAGGACTTCCTTTGGCACTTGGAAATCCAAGCTTCATAGTGACAGGATGAAATCTAAGGCATAAATGCAATCTTTAAAAACCCTGCTTTAAAACATACACAAAGTAGCGCAGTTTAACAAATTAATCCATTTTATATAAATTAGTAGCAAACCTCAAATAAGAACAGCACCACAGTAGAAAAATAAATTGATAAGTGTTCATCGTTCAGTTTAATTTTGAACTGAATATTATTTATTAAATACCATTAATCATATCGAAAAAGATTCTGAATTTTCTTGTTATCTATTCTGTGCCTATAGATGATTTGAATAAGACCAGAAGCTTTTAAGTTAATTGGAATATTAACTCTCATTCTAAGCTGTCAGTATAACACTGCAAAACAGCAAAAATATTCCTTTACAATATGCTCAATAGATTGTAGCAATAAGTACAATAATGTTTTAATCCCAATATTTCATTAAAAAGCTAATCCCATTAATGCCTGGCCAATGTCCTCCCCCAAAAAGCATGAGGAAGAATTTATCCTATAAGGCTGTATAGTGCTTCAGATTAAATTTAGAAGAGTTACCTCAGAATTTAATATAATTCACAGGAGTGTGAAAGCAGCTATATCTGTTTCCCAGTTCACGCAGCTGCAGTGAGGAAAATTTGGAGGGAGACTTCTGCAATTGCCTAAAATCTGGGAACAGACACAGTTACTTTAATGAGACTCCAACAGATGCGGTTCTTACACTCTTCATTCTGAAACACTGCACATTCCTATTCATCCAATCTTCACAACAGTATCAATACCCTGCCGAGAACATGTTCGATATATGTGTGGGCTTTTTATTAGTACTGCACATTGGTTTACTAAAGAGATATGTTTTATGAATCCAGTATTAAATATTGGAACCTGGCACAGCAAACCAGTCACTTAATTTTTCCTTTGTAAATATCTTTGTAAAAACCCAAAAGTTTACTTGCAAATCTTACTGCAATTCTTTCCTCTTTCATATGGCCTGTTGAAGCCATAAGACCAAAATAATAATACATAATTTAAAAATGTATTATTCTAATCGAAAGCAAACCTTGACATGTTTATTACATATATCCTGTGAATTTTGATGAGAAGTATATCCTATTGCTGAGGTTAAATATTCCAAACACTTCATATACAGGTAGTCTTCGTTTAGTGACTGTTCAAAGTCACAACAGCACTGAAAAAAAGTGAGTTATGACCTTTTTTCACATTTAACAGCCACTGCAAAATCCCAATGGTCGTGTGATCAAAATTTGGATGCTTAACAACTCATTTATGACCGTTGCAGTGTCCCGGGGCCACAAAGCCCCCTTGTGACCTTTTGACAAGCAACATCAATGGGGAAGCCAGATTCATTCAACAGCTGTGTTACTAATTTAACAACCAGTGATTCATTTCACAACTATGGCAAGAAAGATCATAAAATGGAGCAAAACTCATTGAACAACTGTCTTAGCAATAGAAATTTTGGGCTCAACTGGGGGCGTAATTCAAGGACTATTTACTCATATTTGAACATCCTTTTAAGGAAAATCATTATCTACATGTATAATATGTTAAAATGTAATTATGAACAATTAAATACAAAACAATTAAGATACCCAACATCAAATATTAGAATTTGTCAAAGCAGTTGTCAAAGCCTAGTGGCAGATACCATTTTTGTTGTTAAATTTTCATTGTGACATTAAAGCAGTGTTGCTTAACCTTAGCAACTTTAAGATGAACTTCAGAAATCCTGCATTAATACAGTTCATAACAAAATATTCCTCCAAATACAGTTTTTCATATGTTATGAAATGAGTAAATCATGGAACAATAAACTTGCATTTAAAATGTTGCAACTACTATTTTAACGCTGTATTTTTAATAGTTTTAAAGATCATGAGGCTTTCAACTTTTCTTCTTTTAATATTATCTACTTTTAGCCTCTGAGATGTCTTTAAATTCTTCCACAGATAAAAATGATTGCAAACCATAGAACAGAAGCACCTCTAGTGTTATGTGGATTTGAGGATTGGTTTATTTTTTTTATTTTAGCAGTTCTCATACCAATTTCTATAACTTTATGAAACATTTAAACAGGATATAGCTTTAAGGCATGGATGAGAACTGTGGATCGAGAAGAACTGAACATTAAATCAAGGGCTTCCGTAACATTGGAATACTAATTTTTGTCTCGTCCCTACATGGCGTGCAAGTATATACTAACAGTATTCCAATTAAAATTAACTCTGAAATGAAGTAAAAAAAACAACACCCGGATTTCAAAATAACGTTCATCAACAACACTATTACAATTTTATTACACAGGGTGGCTTACAATTAAATTAGGGTTAAATCAAACTACAACAGTAGAACATAGCAGATTTGGTGTTCAATAAATTTATTTGCCCGTGTTAATTTTGTTAATTTAAGAAAATTTATATGACTGCCTACTCACTCTCAGTGACTCTGGGTGTATTAATACTGCTGCATAACAACAGGGCCAAAGAGCTAAGAATGGGGCAGAGAATTGCTCACAAGACTTAATTCCATGCCACAAAATATGTGAAGCTATAGATTAAAACGTTCTCTGTGAACTCCATTAAAGCTGCAAATTTGTCTAGCATCATTTTATTGCACCACATTTCCATTTATCACTTCTCCCCTGTTGCGAGTAGACCACAATTCCCTGCATACTATTACCCTTACCAAGTTCTCACTTCAAGTACCATTCATGCATTGGATAGTCTAGCAGCAACCCGATTTCTGTGATAATCGGTTCCAAATGACAAATTTCTTCATATATGTCAACCTAAGTACTAAAGCCTAGATATCTAGTAGTATTCATTACTTTACCAACAACTTTCAATGTATTCTCTGTATAGAAATTGATTAGGGAAAAGGAATATTTAATATTTAGCAAAATGTAGTTATCGAGACCTGCATAACTTGATAGAAACAAATAGAGGTGTGACCCCTTCAGAAATGAATATAAAGATAACAGTACGAATACTTGAATTCTACTGCTTGCTAAGATGCCCTGCTATATTTGAGGTAACAGTAGCTTTGGCCTAGCAGTTTTAAATATTCCACATTCCTGTACCTTGCTTGTATACACAGCTACATCTCCTCCCTCTGTTCCTGCAGAAGCAGCATTCGGTGCTTCTAAAGTAAAATTGCAGCCACTGTTGCTTCAGCCCATATCAGATAGTGTCAAGTCGTTTGCCTATTAAGCATATAGTCAAAGTTCCAGATGATGCTTTGTGGCTAGCTTCTCATTCGTGCCCTTCCATTGACTAGCCCATTTCAAAACAAGCTGGGGATGGAAAGACCGAGTGAAGAAGGACGCAACATAAGCAGAGAAGATACCTTCAAACTGCTCAATCTCAACTGGCAATAGAGCAGAATTTTATTTGCAGTAAACAAGTGTATTTTCATGCACTCTCGCAAAGCACCTTAAATGTTTTTAATTTTGTTCGGTTTTTGTGGGACCTCTGCCAGAAGCATTTTCAAATGCCATGCCTATGAAACTGACAAACCAAAAGACTTAAAACATTCTAAACTGTGGGATATTTTCCAAAATGAACCAACGGCTCTTTGGGCAGAAGCAGAGGTTAATAATCCTATTATGAGTTTTGCCAAACTCGAATTATTCCCACGAATAATTCCTACTTGGAAAAAACTTGATTTTTTGAACTTTGTAGAAGAAGAGCAACAGCAATAGAATTTAGACATATACCACTTCTCTAAGCGGTTTACAGAGTCTGCATCTTGCCCCCAACAATCTGGGCCCTCATTTTACCCACCTCGGAAGGAAGGAAGGCTGAGTCAACCTTGAGCCGGTGGGAATTGAACTGCCAAACTGCTGTCAGTCATCAGAATTATCCTGCAGTAATGCATTCTAACCACTGCACTACCAGAGTTCTGGTACTCCAACAACTTGCAGCTGCTCAACCATACATATAGACTCTGTTTCCATAATCAGTTTCCAGAATGACTTGAATTCCCCAGCCAATATTAGAACATGGAATTCAGTGCATCTAAATTTCAGAAAACAGATGCCTCAATATAGTGGGACCAAATAAAGGTCTAAGTATAATGTCTGAGAAATACACATTTGCAAAGGTAAAAGTACCAGAAACAAAAATGAATTATGTATTCATGACGCAAGAGGTCTTTGCCAACAGCTGTAGGGGCCATATTAACAAATCAGCGGAAAGATGCTTCCCTTGGCAAACTCCAAAACAATTCTTCCAAATTATTTTTGAAACATACATAGCCTGTTTGGTAATTTTTTATTCAACAATACCCTGAAGTACACTCTGCATTTCTGTTTAACTGCCTTACTAAAATGCACTTCTACGCAGCAAGGAACATACCTTAAAACATGATTGGCCTAATCAACAGTGCTACATGTGGAGATTGGTGTGTGAGAAATGCTTCATTTAATATTTCTACAAATAACTAAAAACATCCTTGCAAACATGCAGTGGCTTGAACTTAAATATAGTGATTTTTCTTTCCATAGTACCCACGTTTGCCTTTAATACGTATTACCACAAGGGTTGATAGAGGTTTGGCAACCCATATTACGACTCTTAACTGGAATACGGAATAATGTCCCATCCGAACACATGCAAAGTTTGTAACGTTCCCAGTCACCATTGTTGAATTGTTCCTTGTGAGAAGAATTTGGCAGTCGGGATACGCTGATCATCACACTTCCATTTAGGATAATGGAGTTGTCCTAGGAAAGGAATATGTCTAAATCAATGAACATGTAACAGTCTTCATAGTCTTCTTTTAATATTATCTACTTTCAGCCTCCGAGATGCCTTTAAATTCTTGCACAGATAAAAATGTTAGCAAACCATAGAACAGAAGCACCTATAGTGTTATGTGGACTTGAGGATTTGTTTTTTTTTAAAGTAGTTTTCATATCAATTTCTGTAACTTTATGAAACATTTAAAGAGGATGTAGCTTTAATGCATGGATGAGGACTGTGGATCGAGAAGAACTGAACATTAATTCAAGTGCTTGCACAACATTGTCGATACTTTTAGATCATATGATTCTTTTTCAATTTGCATCAATGGAAGATTTCATGTAGTCCTAGTCTTAAGAGTAGAAACACTTTCCTAACTTATTACATATCCCTTAATATTAAACAGCAATGGAGGGAGAGATCGTGAGATCTTATCATTGGATTGTGTTCTTCCTGCTTGTTTATAGAGTAGGGATGCTTGCAGAATACATTCATAATATAGTCTGGCACTAACTGGCCTTCTCTGGATTTCCTGAATTAATGTGTGGAACAGAATTATCAATCTTCATGCTTTCTGAATATTATAAGGCTGTTCACAGTTTAAAATACAGGTAGTCCTCACTTAAAGACTGCAATTGAGCCCAGAATTTCTTTCATAATTCATTGTAGTCATTAAGTGGGTTACCATGTAACCTTACTGTTTTACAACCGATTTTACAATGAGGGTATAACTGGTCATCAGGTTATTGAGTAACACTGTTGTTAAATCCATTTTGAATTGGCATTTTTTTTTGTGGGAAGCTGATAAAATCCCACCAGAAACCAACTAAAAAATGATGGAAATTCATAAATGGAATTATGACTGATGGAAAGTCATAAATTCAAGCCATTGCCAGGCACCAAAAATGCAATCATGTGTCTGGAAAGGAGGTACCAATCATAACTGTGATGATGGATCCTAATTTTCTTTTTGGGGTCTGTTGCATTTTTGAACAATTATCAAGCAACTGGTCAATAAGCCAGGACTACCTGTAATATCAAAATTATACATTATAAGAGACAATATTTTAAATATTTTACAGAAATAATATAAACCACTTTAATTTTTTAAGTAAGAAGCAATACTATAATATGTAAATTGTCATTATTTGTATGCAGTCGTTGTGCAATTATTAAGCGACCATGAATGTAAAAATAAGAATGGTTTACCAGTAAACACAAGCAAAATAAAGATAGTAGACTGATACATTCGTCCTTATTCAAAATAGATTTTAAAGCAGTTTACTGCCTAGTTGTCTATTTTCTACTCATCAGAAGAGACATATGAGTTACAACTAAATATAGGAACAAACTGGTCTCCAACCTTTCTTTTCTTTTTTGAAAGTGTTCAAGTGGAAGCAGCCATCTGGGGTGACTAATTTGGACTCCTGAAAATTAAAGCGGTTTGGACTTCATGGTCTAAATGGGCCAATCCAATGTTACGTTTGCCTGAAATCGCAATACCTTATTTTATACGGTATTCCTTCCCTCCCTGCAATCTTATAGTTACCTGCATTGTACTCCAAATATTGAGCTTACTTACAGCTACACTACAGGTAGTACTTGACTCACAAGCATTCGTTTAGGACACTGTCTTCTTATTCGTCTGCAAAGACGCTATTTAGTTTTAATATTCAAATATCCTTTATTTGCTTCAAAACATAGCTACAAGTGTTTGGGTGCATATAATTTATTCAGGAATTCAACAGAGCATTGTGTGTATGAAGTAGAAAGCACAGAACAGATTTAAAGGCCAACTGAAACATTAAAAATACAGTGTGTGTGTTTGGGTATGCATGCAAGTTTACGTTCACAAATGACAAAACTGAGCCAATGTCTGACCAAAGGACATTTCCTTAGTCGAGCGACCACATTATAAAATAGCTGAAAATCCTGGAATTACTTACGGCTTTCAGTTCCAAGTTGCGTCCCATAGAAAACTTTATAGTTTTGCCCATAATAAACACTCCTTCATTTCCACGGACAATAGCACGCCCATCAACTTTTATATTGAGATCACTGGTGGCGTTGCTTGTAATCTAAGAAAAAAAAGAACATGGCTATACAATGTGTTTACTAAATTAGTATCAAATTTACATTAAAGAAATCAAAATATCTTGTGTAAAAGAACCCTTGTCCTTAAACAGTGCTATTCACTATTTGCACATAAATAATTGTTTAGGATTACCAGCTATGGACCTAAAAATGCTCTGAGATCCTAATTTTAAAGTTCTAGATTTCTATTCTTATTCGTCTGCTGTCTTTATTGGTTGTTTGCATTCTTGTTTCAGAAACTTAGTCGCTTTATCTAGAATCAAAATTTGTAGAATAGAATAGAATAGAATAGAATAGAATAGAATAGAATAGAATAGAATAGAATAGAATAGAATAGAAAGGGACCTTGGAGGTTTTCTAGTCCAGCCCCCTGCTCAAACAGGAGAACCTATACAATTTTAGACAAGTTACTGTACAGTCTCTTCTTAAAAACCTCCAGTGATGGGAACGCCCACGATTTCTGGAGGCAAGCTGTTCCACTGGTTAACTGTCCTTACTGTTAGGAAGTTTCTCCTTAATTCCGGGTTGCTTCTCTCTTTGATCAGTTTCCAACCATTATTTCTTGTCCTGCCCTCTGGTTCTTTGGAGAATAATTTGACCCCCTTTTGAATATTAATTTATTCAAAATTTGTTTATTTGTTTACAGAAACTTAGCTTTATCTAAACATTACAGAGCAGTACCAACTGAATTCTGTATGGTTTCTATTTAAGTGATATGCTTAGAATTGGGTTCCTTCATGTCAGTATCATCCCGACACCTGACCTGAATTGCCCTTACTCATTTTTAAAAGGTCTATGAAATGGCTTTTTCTGAGTCTTAGTTCGTTCGTTCTGAGTTAGGGTGGATGGCAAGTCTGTTGCAAGGGTGTTTGGGGATGGCTTAGTTTAAATGTTTCCTCTTTTGGAAGTCAATCATTATTTTTATTGCTCTATTTTTTTTCTTACAGATAGTCCTCAAGTTACGATCATAATTGAGACCAGAACGTCTGTCACTAAGCAATGTGATTGTTAAATGGGTTGCACCTAATTTTATGACCTTTTTTTTTGCTGCAGTTGTTAAGTGAATCACATTGTCATCAAGTAATTCTGGCTTCCCCATTAACTCTGCTGGTCAGAAGCAAGGCGGGAAGTGCATAAATGATGAACTACCATTGTAGAAACATGCCAATTGCCAAGTGCCCAAATTGGGCTCATGAGACCATGGGGATGCGGAGATGGTCGTAACTGTGAGGACCATTCTTAATCATTTTTCCCAGCACTGTTTGAAACTTTGAAAGTTGCTAAATAAATAGTCCTAAATTGAGGATTACCTGCACTGTTTTTAATGGTCATAGACTGCCCAGAGTCTTTACAAAGTTGGGTGACTGTCTACATTTGACAAATAAATAAATTATAATTAATAAAGTAAATAGCGTGTAAAAGTAATTGTAGAATATAGTTGTAGTAAACTGTTTAAATACAGAGGTCTAATCAGTGGTTTAAATGTACAATTATTCCAAGTCTTTCTGTTAACCGGTTAACTAGATACATCTTAGTTATTGTTTGCTTGCTTATTCTATGTGCAGATCATTGCAAATTTATATAAATCTCAATAAAAAATATAAATAAGATTATGAATTTTAGATGTCATTTATTTAAAAAAACCAAACATATTATACGTTTACAGTTGAAAGTGAGCAAAATATAATCCATACCCTTTCTGTAGATGCTTTTTGGACGTTTAAAATTTTTACTCCACTTGGCAAATTAAACTCATGGGTATTGTAGTCAGTGCTAAACAAAGTGTTTTGAGTTCGTGGGTCAACGAATTCCATTCCGATATCGCTGGTAATTGAAGTTTTATTTTTCTCCACACTAAGTTTTGTTTCGCCCTGCTGAAATACAATCTTGAAAAAAAGAAAGAGGGTGCTGAATTTAATAACAGAGAATTTATCATACTGCCTTAAATTATTAATTGGTAGTGCTTTTTCATCTTAATAAGCAATTTATCCATTTATTTTAAAAGGTATAAATGCAAGACAGCATCCAACAAATTGCAGTGAAGAAAACAATTAAAACTGAAACAAAGAAAACTGCGATATCCAGCGTCATAGAAATAGAAGTCCACAACCAAAAGAATTTCACTAACCAGCAAAGCAAACAAGTGACCAATAACTAAAACCCAGATTTTTGACTATCAGAGATATATTGTATCAGAATAAAGGTCTCTTAGGAGAGTATGTCACAAGTACCATTATTAAGAAGATTCTCCTCTTGGTTAGATTCCAGCCAAACATAATTCAGCAAGATAATATGAAGCCTGTTCTGACCTAGGCTTCCTGAGTCAGTAAAACACGAGTAGTCCCAAAAACCTGTTTTATTTTAACAGCTGTGAACTCTATTCATTCACAGCTGAATCCCAATTAGTTGTAAAGAGTCTTTCGGGATAAGGCTGATAATCACCCACTTTTATCTCCCTTGACACGCTGCCAACGACCTAATTGGCAAAGCCACATGGAGTCCAGAATCAAACAGAGCTTCAGACTTTAAACTGCACAGAATTAACAAGGTTGCTTCCTGCAAAGGCCCACGTCCTCTTTTAAGTCTTATGGGAGGGGCCAATCATCTCCAAGCCCTACTCCCAAGTCATCCCTTTTATTTCAGCTGTTCTTGCCTTCTGGCAGCTCTGCGCATGCACGCACTGGGAACAGGCTCCCCCTGTTCCTCTGCCTCACTGAGGTCCAACTCTGGAGGCTCTGGAGGCAGCACATACCTCCCAGATGGCCCTTTCTCTGCCTCCGACGCAGAGCCCTCGTCCGAACTTTCCCCAGACTCCAGGACTGGCCCATGGTCCTCCCCAGCCTCCTCACTGCCCGACTCTGCTGCCAGCTCCGCAGGCTGCTGGCGGACCACAACAAAACCAAATCTTAGATACTGAATGTAATATGCCAGGAGGCACACACTTACTGGCTGATTTTCTCCAACAATCACCAAATCTTCGTTCCGTCGGCCTCCCACTGTGCTCTTATACAATGGATGTATAATTCCCATATCAGAATCTTGTTTAAATCTTAGTAATCCGCTATCATGAAATTCCATGCTATCGCAGCCGTTGGGTCCAATACGAATTACAGCCCAAATTATGACGGTGATCTAAGAAAATAAACATTGTTTGTACAGTTCTGAAAGATTTATGTCGCTTGGAAAATAAATTAACATTTGAACCATTTGTGAAGGTTTTGACTTTCTCCAAAACTTTTGAGAAATGTCTGTGGTACAACAAGCTTGAATGATGTCCATGAAAGGCAGCTTCCTATAAACAGTATAGGAAACAATTTATAGGTAGTTCTCAACTTACAACCATTCACTTAATGGCCAATGTTATAATGGCACTGAAAAAAGTGACATGATTAGTTTTCATACATACGAACATTGCAGCACCCCCCCCCAGGGGTCATATGATCAAAATTCAGGTGCTTGGCAACTGGCTCATACTTATGACCAGTGGTGGGATTCAAGTAATTTAACAACCAGTTCTCTGCCCTAATGATTTCATCCAACAACCAGTTCACCAAAATGCTCAGAAAGTTAACAACTGGTTCTCCCGAAGTGGTGCGAACTGGCTGAATCCCACCACTGCTTATGACCATTGCTGTATCCCAAGGTCATGTGATCCAGTGGTGGGTTCCAACTGGTGTTACCACCGGTTCTCTTCACGCACGTGCTTTGCGCGCAATCACCACTACCGGCTCGCCTGAACCGGGAGCAACCCACCACTGATGTGATCCTTTTTTGCAACTTTCTGACAAGCAAAGTCAATGGGGAAGCTAGATTCAATTAACAACAGTGTTACTAACTTAACAACTGCAGTGATTCACTTAACAACTGTGTCCATAAAGGTCGTAAAATCGGACAAAATTCACTTAACAACTGTTTCGCTTAGCAACAGAAGTTTGGGCCTCAATTGTGGTCACAAGCCAACTGAGCCTGGTGGCGCAGCAGACTAAAGCACTGTTATTAACATCAAGCTGTCTGCAATTACTGTAAATTCAAATCTCGTCAAGGCTCAAGGTCGACTCAGCCTTCCATCCTTTCTAAGGTGGGTAAAATGAAGACCCGGTTTGTCGGGGCAATAAGCTGACTTTGTATAAATATACAAAAGTATGAAGGCTATTGCTTAACGCATTGTAAGCCGCCCTGAGTCTCCAGAGACGGGCAGCATATAAATCAAATTAAAAAAAAAAAAAAAAAGCCAAGGACTACCTGTAAGAGGAATGGCTAAGACTCTTTCTTTCATAAAATGAAAAATAAAAGGTATATTTAAAATATGATTCCCCCCCCCCCTTGCATTCAATACTTTAGCTATCAATCTTAAGGAGATGTAAATGTTCTAGAATCTAGATGAAATTCTGGAAGACCTGAAAACCGTGAGTGAATTATACCTTTGTTACCTCCTGTACTTCAAGGCATTGTACAGCGGGTTGCCTTTGAAGACCACTCGAATTTTGCAGCTGGTTCAAAATGCAGCAGCCCATCTCTTAATGAGTAAGAACCAACCATCATATATTGTGCCAGATCTGTGGGCACTGCATTTGCTCCTATGGAGCTTCTGGGACAATACAAACTGTTGGTTTTGACCTATAAAATCCATAGTGGCTTGGCACCCGGCTACCCGCAGGACAGAAGTGGTATTCAGCAGGTTCGGACCAGTTCTGGAGAATCGGTAGCAGAAATTTTGAGTAGTTCAGAGAACCGGTAAATACCACCTCTGACTGGCTCCACCCGCATCTATTCTCTGCCTCCCGAGTCCCAGCTGATCGGGAGGAAATGGGGATTTTGCAGTAACCTTCCCCTGGAGTGGGGAGGGAATGGAGATTTTACAGTATCCTTCCCCTGGAGTGGGGAGGGAATGGAGATTTTACAGTATCCTTCCCCTGGAGTGGGGTGGGAATGGAGATTTTACAGTAGCCTTCCCCTGCCACGCCCACCAAGCCACACCACGCCCACAAAGGCATGCCCACAGAACCGGTAGTAAAAAAATTTGAATCCCACCACTGCCGCAGGATTTTCTGCTTCAAACAGAACCTATCACACATCCAGTGAGAGATCTGGGGAGGGCTCAGCAGTCAAACCTTCTGGAACAGCCTCTTCCCAGAGATTTGTAGGATGCCCTCCCACCTAGTATTTAGGAAGTATACGGATCACCTTACAGGTCCAAAATCAGGTGGCAGGCTCAGGTGCAGTTGAGGGAACTTCCATCTGCTGTTTTTTTAGTGCATGGAATTGATAGGTTGACTCATTCTGTCCCTTGATCTAACTGAATATCGTCAGCTAGAATGCATTTTATAGATTGTTATACTTACGATTAAATTAACAACAGCCAAAATGAAAAGGAGGACCAGAACACAGATCGCCAAATTGCCTTTTCTGCCTCGCAAACCAGTTTTGTGTAGACGATCTTCATCAATCGGGATGTATCCAGCCTTGAAGTTACTGTTATGCTCTTTGTTAATATTTCTGCGTTCCACAGCCTTTTCTCGCATCGATTTCTTCACAGGGCCATTTGAGCTTTGCTATAAATTTCAGCCAAACACACAACATGGGAACCAGATTAGATAATATTTCATTTCTGCCGTAATATGATGATCGCAGAAAGAATTGCTCACTAATATTTAAATGTTTTAAAATGATCAGGAAGCATCTACATGGAGTATACCATTTATTTTATTTACAAAATGATTACGTCCTGGAGAAAGGGAGCAGAAGTTGAAAAATATTTCAACGATCCGTACAGAGGAGGTAGTCCTTGAATTATGACCATGATTGAACCCAGGAATTTCGGTTCTTAAGTCATGACGGACATAAAGTAGGTCACATCATCATTGGACCTCATTTTATAACCTTTTGTTGCAATGATCATAAAGCCAGAATCCAGTTTGCAGTGGTTCACTTAGCAACTGTAGCAAGAAAGGTCGTAACATGGGACAAAGCTCACTTTAAAAATGTCTCACTTAACAACATAAATTTTGGGCTGAATTGTGGTTGTAAATTGAGGACTATCCGTCCTCTTGATTTTTTTTTTTTTAATGTCATGAAAACGAAATCTTTTCAGCCCCCAACAATGCCTTTCAAAGGGACCGTTATTCCAGGTCGACCTTTCTCAGTTTTGCAAAGCTCGCCGGCCCTTTTCTGTCCTCTCCAATTCTTGCTATCTGAGTGCGCGGCGGTCTTCCACATCTCCTCCACCGTCCTTGTTAGACTTTAGACTTAGAATAACTTTATTGTCACCTTGAATGGACACTAATCGGCATACATTAAAATGAAATTGCATGCAGCTCTCAGAGGGTCACTGCTTCCTACATGCACTACATAAACATGACTAAAAAAATAAATACAAAATTATGCATATACCCACATATATTACATGACATGGAGAAACAACACAGTTTACTCTAGATAGACCAGGGGTGTCAAACTCAAGGCCTGGGGGCCGGATTTGGCCCGCGGGGTGCTTAGACCTGGCCCATGGGCCCGCCCTGGAAACATGGACATGGAGAAATAACACAGTCTAGAGATCAACCAAAATTAGTACCTTTTGGTATAAAATATAAATTTTAATGCAAATATAGACCATTCATACAAATTAAAACTCTAATTAAACTCAAGATAGCAAAATGCTATACTCTAAGGACTTATCTCATGGTTTGTATCAGATAGTAACACAAAAAATCAAATCAAATCAAATCAAATCCATGCATACAAAACTATGCATATACCCACATATTTTATATGACATGGAGAAACAACACAGTCTAGAGGTCAACCAAAATTAGTACCTTTTGGTACAAAATATAAATTTAAATGCAAATAAAGACCATTCATACAAATTAAAACTTAATAAACTCAAGACAGCAAAATGCTATATCCTAAGGACTTATCTCATGGTTCCTATCAGGTAGTAACACAAATAATAAAATAAAATAAAATATAATACATGCATGCATACAAAACTATGCCTATACCCACATATAAGGGGCATGCATAAGCGCCCCAGCGTGCCTACCGTCCCTGTCCTAATGTTTTCTTTTATTCGTTTCCTTTTCATGTATTTATGTGACCCCGCGCAGGTGGGGGGTCTTCTCCCGGTGGTCTTCTGGGTGCGCTTCAAGGTTTTGGTTACCACCTTTAGAGCGCTCCATGGCATCGGACCGGGGTATTTACGAGACCGCCTTCTGCTACCAATAGCCTCTCACCGACTAGTACGCTCCCATAGAGGGGCTCCTCAGGGTGCCACCGGCCAAAGTGTCGACTGGCGGCTCCCAGGGGGAGAGCCTTCTCTGTGGGGGCACCTACCATCTGGAAGGAGCTCCCCCCAGAGATACGGAGTATCCCGGATCTGCGCACGTTTCGTCGTGCTCTCAAAACTTTTTTATTTCAGCAGGCTGGCCTGGTTTAACTCTCCTCTTTTAAATTTTTAATTCGTTTGATTTTATAAATTGGGTGTTTTAATCTGTGTTTTGGCCAAAATATTTAATAATTTTAAGGGACTTTTAATATTTGTATTATCTGTATTTTATCTTGGCTGTTCACCGCCCTGAGTCCTCCGGGAGTAGGGCGGTATAGAAATTTGATTAATAAATGAATAATAAATAAATAATTACGTTTACACTTGTACCTGTCATAAAATACATGCTTGACGAAATAAAATAAGTAAAATAAAAATAAAATAAATAAAAATAAGTAAAATAAAAATAAAATAAAATAAATAAAAAATAAAATAAGTAAAATAAAAATAAAATAAAATAAAATAAAAATAAAATAAGTAAAATAAAAATAAAATAAGTAAAATAAAAATAAAATAAAAATAAAATAAGTAAAATAAAAATAAAATAAGTAAAATAAAATATATTTTACGACACAGACAAACAATACAGCCTAGGTCCGGCTATATCCATGTACAGGGCGAGAAAAACACGAATTTTGCGGCAGTTTCTTCCACCAGGGAGCCCTGGAGCAACAGGACCGGCCGGGGCTCTGACGAGAGGCCGCCGCTCGTAGCGGTCTATTTTTTGCTTGCACGGAGGGCCGGGCGCGCTTACTTGGGCAGGAATCTCCCTCTCGGACGCCGCTCCGGGCGTGGTCCTCCCTCCGCCAAGGGGCAAGCCGGCCAATACACTCATGTTAAGAATTATTATTATTATTATTATTATTATTATTATTATTATTATTATTATGGCGGGTGAGGGGGGGGCAGAAAGGTATTTTAAGGATTCCCTCAGGATTCCCTCAGGAAGCGCAAAAACATAACGGGCGGCGAGGTGAGGCGCGCCTCAAAGACGCGCTCGGTTATTACCGGAGCCGCCGAAGCGTTTCTCCTCCCTCCGGCCGCCGACTTAAGGCGCTCCTGAAGGCGGACTTCCAGCGCCCTCCGGCCGCTGCGAGCCCCGCCGAAGCGAGCTCAGACCCGCCATTTGAAACCCAAACTGGGGTTTTGAGGGGAGAAAGAGAGAGAAGCGACTGGGACGCGCCGCCGCCGCCGCGGCTCTGCCTTGGCGCCATATTTGCCCATCGCAAATCTTCGCAGGGGGTTCCGCCCGAAGTGTCAGCCTCGGCGGCTTCCCGAATTTCCCTCCCTCCGCCTGGCTACCGACCTGCTCGGAAGCCGCCGTGGACGCCGCTCCGGCGGCTGGAAGAACCGCCATCTTCGGCTCTTGTCCTTCCTTGGCCGGCAGGGGGAGCGAGGCTGGAGCGAAGAGAGGCCGCTCATCGAAAAGCTGACGCGGAATCCCTTCCTCCTCCTCCGGTCGGGGCAGGCGGGTGGTGGGGAAGGGGAGAGCCACGAAAGGCCGCGGTTGGGTCTCTCTCGCCAAGAGAGCCCCCGTGGAGGGAAGCAGCGCATGCCGAAAAGGAGGAGGAGGAGGAGGTAAAATGCCGGTGGTCCTCGATTTACGGCCTCCACGGAGCCCAGCATTTCTGTTGTTGTTCAGCGAGGCATCTGTTCAGTGAGTTTTGCCCCCCCCCAACTACCTTTCTTGCCCCAGCTGTTAAGTGAAACAACGCAGTCGATAAAATTAGTAATCCGGTTGTGGAGTGAATCTGGCTTCCGAATAGAATAGAATAGAATAGAATAGAAGTAGAGTAGAGTAGAGTAGAGTAGAGTAGAGTAGAGTAGAGTAGAGTAGAGTAATAGACTAGACTAGACTAGACTAGAGTAGAATTAGAGTAGAATAGAATAGAATAGAGTAGAATTAGAGTAGAATAGAATAAAATAGAATTAGAGTAGAATAGAAAGTAAAGTAGAATAGAGTAGAGTAGAATAGAATAGAATAGAATTAGAGTAGAATAGAATAAAATAGAATTAGAGTAGAGTAGAATTAGAGTAGAATAGAATAGAATAGAATTAGAGTAGAATAGAATAAAATAGAATTAGAGTAGAATAGAAGTAGAGTAGAATAGAATAGAGTAGAGTAGAATTGGAGTAGAATAGAATAGAATTAGAGTAGAATAGAATAAAATAAAATTAGAGTAGAATAGAATAGAAGTAGAGTAGAATAGAGTAGAGTAGAATTAGAGTAGAATAGGTAGAGTAGAATTAGAGTAGAATAGAGTAGAGTAGGATAGGATAGGATAGAGTAGAGTAGAATTAGAGTAGAAGAGAATAGAAGTAGAGTAGAGTAGAATAGAATTAGAGTAGAATTAGAGTAGAAGAGAATAGAAGTAGAATAGAAGTAGAATTAGAGTAGAATTAGAGTAGAAGAAGTAGAGTAGAGTAGAATTAGAGTAGAGTAGAGTAGAATAGAATAGAATAGAATTAGAGTAGAAGAGAAGAGAAGAGAATTAGAGTAGAATTAGAGTAGAATAGAATAGGAGTAGAATAGAATAGAATAGGAGTAGAGTGGAATGGAATAGAGTAGAGTAGAGTAGAATAGAATAGAATAGAATAGAATAGAATAGAATAGAACAGAACAGAACAGAACAGAACAGAACAGAACAGAACAGAACAGAACAGAACAGAACAGAACAGAACAGAATAGAATAAGGAATGGAATGGAATGAATAGAATACAATAGGAATAGAATACTTTATTGCCACATGTACACTAATTGGCATTCATTAAAATGAAATTATGTTGCATTACAATTACGTCGAAATTACGTTGCATACAACTTTCAAAGGGTCTCCACCTGTAATAGAAACATAAACATGACAAGATAAATAAATAAATAAATACAAAATTATGCATATATACCCACATACAGAACACAGAGAAACAACACAGTTGAGTTTGGATGTATACATTCCACATTGACTTTGCTTTACACAGTATAATTGTCCACTCTTTTTCATAGTCCTTCTACTGATAGTCCTCGACCTACGACCACAATGGAGCCCAGCATTTCTGTTTTTCAGCGAGACAACTGTTCAGTGAGTTTTGCCTCATTCTACGACCTTTATTGACCCAGTTGTTAAGTGAAACACCGCAGTGGATAAGTTAGTAATCCGGTGTTAAGTGAATCTGGCTTCCACATTGACTTTGCTTGTCAGGATCACCTGACCTTGGAACACACAGCAATGGTCATAAGTATGAGCCAGTTGCCAAGCATCTGAATTTTGATTACATGATAATGGGGATGCTGCAAGGGTCGTAACTCTGAAAAACGGTCCTGAGTAACTTTTTTCAGTCTCGTTGTAGATTTTGAATGGTCACTAAATGAATTGTTGTAAGTGGAGGACTAACTATGAGTTGGAAGGGACCGCAGAGGTCTTCTAGTCCAACCCCTGCTTGAGAAGGAGACCCTATATCATTTCAAATAAATGATTGTCTAGTCTCTTTTTGAAACCACAGCTGTCATGTCACCCCTAGTCCATCTTTTCATTACACTAGGCATGTCCAATTCCTGCAACCAGTTCATATTTTAGCCTCCAGCCCCCTACTCATTTTTGTTACTGTTCTCGGCACTCTTTCCAGAGTCTCTGAAATAAGCCTCCCCCCGAAAATAAGCCCTCCCCAAAAATATTTAAATGCAGAGCTGGAAATCAGGTAAGACAGCAAGAGGAGCCCCATCTTGCTCCATGCGCCCCAAAATAATAAGACCTCCCCAAAAATAAGGCCAAGCGCTTATAGAAATAAAATTATCTATCTATCTATCTATCTATCTATCTATCTATCTATCTATCTATCTATCTATTTCGGGGTTCAAATAAATAAATAAATAAATAGAGCCTTGGTAGTACAGTGGTCTAAAGCACCCTGTTATTAAGAACAGCTGCCTGCAATTACTGCAGGTTCGAATCTCGCCAAGGCTCAAGGTTGACTCAGCCTTCCATCCTTTCTAAGGTAGGTAAATTGAGGACCCAATTGTGGGGGCAATAAGCTGACTTTGTATAAATATACAAAAGAATGAAGGCTATTGCTTAGCACATTGTAAGCCGCCCTGAGTCTCCGGAGAAGGGCGGCATATAAATCAAATTAAAATAAATAAATAAATAAATAAATAAATAATTTTATTTCTATCCTGCCATTCTCCCGAAGGACTCAGGGCGGTGTACAGCCTATTAAAAAAACAAAGACAAACATCAGTTAAAAATAATTAAAATTATTACATAATTTCGGCTCAGATTTAAAACCCCAAAAATTTAAAACACCCAATTTAAAAAATCATTACATTGATAGCCCAGCTTGGCGGAACAGCAGGGTCTTGAGGGCACAGCAAAATACACGGAGGTGGGAGATCTTACGCATTTCCGGGGGCAGTTCATTCCACAGGGCTGGGGCTCCCACAGAGAAGGCCCTCCCCCTGGGTGTCGCCAGCCGATATAACTTGGCCGATGGCACCCTGAGGAGACCCTCTCTGTGGGAGCGAACTGGCCCGTGGGAGGCTGTTGGTGGCAGAAGTCGGTCTCGAAGGTACCCGGGTCCTATGCCATGGAGCGCTTTAAAGGTGGTAACCAACACCTTGAATCGCACCCGGAAGACCACCGGGAGCCAGTGCAGCTCGCGCAGGAGGGGTGTCACGTGGGCACAACGGGTTGCACCCATAACCACCCGCGCGGCCGCATTTTGGACCAGCTGGAGCCTCTGAGTGCTCTTCAAGGGGAGCCCCATGTATATTTTTGTATATTTCAAAAAAAATATAAGACAAGGTCTTATTTTCGGGAAAACACGGGTATTAAAGGCAGGTGGTGGCACAATCTGAAGTGATTTATCTTGGTCTCATTTTTCTACGTCTCAAAACAGTTTCATTTTAACAGGTGCGTAGACTTTTTATATCCTAGATCAGTGTTTCTCAACCTTGGAAGCTTGAAGATGGGTGGTCTTCAATTCCCAGAATCCCCCAGCCAGCGCTGCTGGCTGGGGGATTCTGGGAGTTGAAGTCCACCATCTTCAAGCTACCAAGGTTGAGAAACACTGTACTAGATGGATGGATGGATGGATGTGGGTGGGTGACTGGATGGATGGATGGATAGATGGATGGATGGATAGATACTTTCAAGATGCAGAGGAGAATAATCAGAACAAGAAGAGGGTCCATTTCCCGCTTCCCTGTAATGTACAGATTAGAATCTTGTGATCTGAAAATTAATGCATTATTTTGAGAAAAAAAAAAAAAAAGACGCCCGAAATCCTGAGTCATCAGCATGATGCGCGAGGAGAGTCACCTGGGCGCAACACGCGCGTCCGAATCACGCGCGTATCATTCGCGGGCGGCTAGCGGTGGCGGAAGCCTCTTTGGAAAAGCGGGAAGCGCCTCGATCTCTTGCGAGCCGCGAGAGACCCGAGCGGCTCGGCTTTTGCAAGATTTCGTTCGTCGCCTGAACTTCCAACGGGATCCCCCTTCCACCTGGATCCCCCTTCCGCAGCATCGCGTAATAAAAGTCGTTCTGGGCGCTTCAACTGACTCCCCACCTGGAAACCAAGGCGAGGCGTCAATCGGTCGGTGGTGGAAGGTGGCAGCGAAGGGAAAGATCCCGCGGGGGGGATCGAGTGATTCGGGAAGCCATCCCCCACCATGTTTTCTTCCCAAGCGACCTCAAAGCTCCCTCTCCTTCCTCCCGGGGTGCTCTCTTGCCTGCTCAAGCCAGCCCGCGTCCCCGAAAAAGGGAGCCCGGGGCAGAAAGCGGAAAAGGGAAGGTGGGGTTTTTTCGGCGTTGCTACAACCAAAAGGAGTGGGCTCTTTCCGCGCAGCCGTGGCGTCCCTGACATCCGAGCAAAGCAAACGTCAGTTTGTTTTAACAATCACTTGGGTATAAAACGCTCCAATCATAAGAGGAGGCTTGCAAGGACAAATCCCAGGCTGAGCCCGTTTGGAGGCCACCATCAGTTAAAAGGCCATCTCCTCGTTGGGACCTCCGGGGTGGCGAGAAGCAAAAGCCCCAAGAGGAAGAAATAGCCGCTGCTTCGTTGGAAAAGAAGCCCCGCTTAGCCTTGACTCTTGAACCCTTTCGCCCTTTCTGTCGCCATCTCTGGAAGGCATGGCTGACACCTTGAGAAGACTGATCAACAACGAGACCTGCAGGATTTTGCAGGAGAAGCTGGAAAGTTGGTATAAAGACTATTACGTGAGTGTGTAAAAAAAACGCAGCGTTGTCTTTCCAGAGGGCATCTAGGGACGAGGCTGGTGTGTGTGTGCGCGCGTATATCTGTGTTGAGTATCTAGCATCCTCTCTCTGTATTTTCTTTAACGCGATCGATGCAATATTATTTTCCCTTCCGGGGAAAGCAAGAGCAGGAAAGAAGGGTGGGAAATATATATATATATATATATATATATCGGGATAATAAGCTTCTAACGCGGCTGCCCGTGTACTGGTTACTGTTTTCCCGGGAAAACAGTTTTTAACACATGTTAAAGGGAAAGAAAAGCCCCGCCACAATCTGATTCGCGATTGGAGCTTTTGAGAAGCGAGTTCATGGCGGGAGATGGATCCGGGCTTTAATGGATCCTTGGAGACCCCTAGCGATTTCCCGGGAAAACAGTAACCAAGGACGCTGGATTTCAGCGCCAAGAGGGAGGGAGGGAGGGAACGTGGTTGGTTGCCACGGTTACGGAATGTAATGGTATATACTGTACCGACAACATCTCGGACCAGCGATTATTTGTAACTATTGATTACTCAAGTTTCTTTTCTTCCTCCCACGCCCCAGTTTGGCACGGATCGCGCTCGATCGACCTTGGCTGATCTAAAAAGGCGACTTGGACGAGGAAAACATAGGATGAAATGGCTAATATGGGCTGGGCTGGAAAATTGGGGGTGGAAAAATCTCTCCCAGTGATACCAATGGAAAAATCACTTTGGTACCAGTAGTAACTTTGTCTACATGGAGTTGTTCCTGAAGTCACCAGGTGGCAAATACTGAGCTCAGTTTAGATCAGATTTACACCCTTAGTTTATAGTTCCACAGGTGTGTCATTCCCCTCCTCCCCACTTTATTTATTTATTTTATTTATTTATTAGTTCGATTTATATGCCGTCCTTTTCCGGAGACTCAGGGCGGCTTACAATGCGTTAAGCAATAGCCTTCATACTTTTGTATATACCTGCTTAGTAGGGCTTTCGGGGGCCCCCAAGCGGTGTTCTTTTTTATACAAAGTCAGCTTATTGCCCCCAGAATCCGGATCCTCATTTTACCTACCTCGAAAGGATGGAAGGCTGAGTCAACCTTGAGCCTGGTGAGATTTGAACTTGCAGTAATTGCAGGCAGCTGGCAGCTAAGTGCTACTTAACAGCACTTTACTCCACTACGCCACTTTAGCTTTTGCATTTCACATGGTTAGAATGATATCCTGTAAAAGCTTTTTAGGTGTTAGATTTTTATTCTGCTGATCCTCCAAGATGCTCAGACCAAAGTAACTTGGAAACCAGCTCTTTCCCCCCCTCAGCCACCTCTCCTTTTGTTCCTGCAACCATCTTCTGAGACGAACTGAGATACAGCAGCTATTCATGGTTAAGAATGGAATCTATTTATCATTTTTAATTTTTTTTTTTATTAATATCCCATCTTTATTATTTACACAAAAAAATTCAAGGTGGCAAATATAACTAACATTCTGTCCTTTTCTTATTTTTCCCACAACAACAAGCCTGTGAGGTTGGTTTGGGCTGAGCAAGTTTGACTGGCCCAAAGTTACCCAGCCTGCTTTCGTGCCTGAGGGGACTAGAACTCACAGTCTCCTGGTTTCTAGTACCCAGCACCTTAACCACAGGTCCAGACAAGCTCTACCCCTGGAAGTAAATAGTAAATGGCTTAGCAACATCTGCAATTTCTATTACAATTTGTTATAATCCATTTTTTTAAAAAAAATTGTATGCCGCCCTTCTCCAGAGACTCAGGGCGGCTTACAAGGCGTTAAGCAATAGCCTTCATACTTTTGTATATTTTATACAAAGTCAGCTTATTGCCCCTACAAACCGGGTCCTCATTTTACCTGCCTTCGAAAGGATGGAAGGCTGAGTCAACCTTGAGCCTGGTGAGAATTGAACTTGCAGTAATTGCAGGCAGCTGGAAGCTAAATACTACCTTTAACAGTAGCATTAGTCTGCTGCGCCACTCAGGCTCTTCTTAATGATTGCAATGTGATGTATATATTTGTCTTCAGGTCGACCACAGAGAATGACTGTCAGAGCGCATGACAAATCTGTCTTGCTCTACCAGGACCTATTCATTTTTTCCCCTTAGTAGTATTTTAATATTTTATTGATGAATATTAGGACCATTTCAGACTTCTGAATTCATGTGTATCTTTAGGGCAGGAATAGTCTGGGGATGTAATTTGTTTATTTTTTTTTAAATGAGGAAATTAAGGATTTGTTCACCCCTATCCAATTGCATCTGTAGTCTGATAGTTCAATGTATGGGCCGGTTGAATTGAAAGCAATTACACTGTGAAGTGTAGAACAGAGTAGAGTAGAGTAGAGTAGAGTAGAATAGAATAGAATAGAATAGAATAGAATAGAATAGAATAGAATAGAATAGATTCTTTATTGGCCAAGTGTGATTGGACACACAAGGAATATTCCTGATTTAATGTTTTATCTAAGAATCTACATTATGTCACACTTCATTTGATTCCCACCAGGTTTCCTGTCCCATTTGATTGTTTAAAAATTACAGGTAAATGGGAAGAAAAGCACAAACTTTGCATCAATACATTTCAAAAGCCTTTGAAATCCACAAAGTTAGTCATTTTATGAATGAGGGAGTCTCATAAAGTGCCCATTTGTGAGTTTGTCTATCACAGTTCCAAATATGCTGTGGGCAAAAAAAAAAATATTCTCCCTTTTTATGTATTATGTAGCACCACATGGAGTAACTGAGAAATAACATACATAAGATAAATGGAAAATTGTTTTATTTGTTAATGAAATTAATTAGTGTGAATGTAGACTGATTTACTCTCTCTATTGTACTATGTTATGATGAGGTGGTTCACATCCCAGTCCTTTATTTATTATAATAAACACTGCATACAAGATGCAAGGTGGTATTTTAGTAAACAAGGAAAACTTTCTTATGATCATTATGGCCAAATGTAAGAAAAAAAATTAGTTCACCCTTCCCCACATTTATTACAATATACCCCCTGTCATTCCTACTCTGCAGAAGTTGGTTGGTTCGATTTATATGCCGCCCTTCTCCGGAGACTCAGGGCGGCTTACAATGCGTTAAGCAATAGCCTTCATACTTTTGTATATACCTGCTTAGTAGGGCTTTCACGCCCCCCCCCCAAGCAGTGTTCTTTTTTTATATATACAAAGTCAGCTTATTGCCCCCACAAACCGGGTCCTCATTTTACCTACCTCGAAAGGATGGAAGGCTGAGTCAACCTTGAGCCTGGTGAGATTTGAACTTGCAGTAATTGCAGGCAGCTGGTGCTACTTAACAGCACTTTTAGTCTGCTGATGATGTATGGTGTACAATTGTATTTCTGGCTCAGATTTGTTCTATTGCTAAGAATGACTGGTGAAGAAACAATATGGATAAAACTGGATTAATCAAGAACATTTACCTGATTTTCAGATTAACTCGTGTAATAAAAATTTGACTCGGTGCTGCGAAATCATGGAGCTGAACTCCATGATTCAGGGACAGCTGTTTTCGATTCTCAATCAAGCTTGTCAAGAAGGTGAGATTATCTAAAGGACTGCCTGAATATCTGGAAATATTGAATTTGTCAGACCTGAACTCCCTTCTTTTACACACACACAAAATATCCCTTACTGTTTGGAATTACCTGTATCCTTAGGCATTATTTTAATAATTATTTAGTCCTTGATTAGGACTTGAATTTTCCTCGAGTCTTAGATTATGAATCTTACTGTAGATTGCCCCCACATAATAATGATGACTTTATAAAAATGGGCAATATTTAAAATATGAAAAAGGTAAGATTTGACATAATCTTTTTTTACTGAAACTGTTACAATCATTACAGGTAGTCCTCGACTTATGACACAATTGAGCCCACAATGTATATTGCAAAGCAAGGCATTTGTTAAGTGAATTTTGCCCCATTTCACAATCTTTCTTGCCACAGTTGTTAAGTGAATCTGGCTACCCCTTTGACTTTGCTTGTCATAAGGTTGCAAAAGGGGAATCACATGACCCTGTTAGGACACTGACATATGAGTCAGTTGTCAAGAGCTGAATTTTCATCAGCTGCGTGATCTTGGGGGATGCTGCAACGTTCATAGGTGTGAAAAACAGTCAAGTCCCTTTTCTCAGTGCTGTAACTTTGAACTGTCATTAAACGAGGACTACCTGTAATGGGAAGAATGCATCTGATGCATTTGTAATGCCAACAAAGGCACTGATATTGTTGGGATATCGGTGAATTTTAGTTGTAAGTCACCATGCTCTTCCAGATTTAGTCTCTTCCTATTGGCCCCATAGTCATTTACTGGGCTCCCCCTTTTGACCCCCAACTCTTTGGATAATCCCATCACCCCTTGAGATCGATATTAAGCCTACTCTGTATTGTACATGAATGGCACGTGTTTCTGAAATGGATTCATACCCAATCATTTAAAGCATTTTGTCATATATATTTTTAATTTATCAACTCAGGTGGCAATTATGAAGGTATGGAAATAATAAAATCTCGTCTCCTCCCATGGTTGGGTACTTGCTTTTCTAGCCCTTCATCTGGAAGCACCCTGGACACATGTTCTTCTGTATTACAGGTAATTCTTTTATATATCTATATCTATCTATATATATATTTTGTGGCCCGTCAGCGGCCTGTGCAGCTAGTAGCTGATTCCGACAGCGAGGAGGCTGGTGTGGTGCTGCGCCAACAGCCTGTGCAGTTGGCATTCGAGTCGGACAATGAGGAGGCTGGAGAAGATGTGGTGCCAGAGGCGGGGATTCAGCCAGGGCCTTCAGAACCCCCAGAAGCTTCCATGGGTGAAGAGGAAGAAGAGGAGGAGCCTCTTCTCAATGTACGGGCGCGCAGAGCTGCCAAAAGGCAGGAGTGGCTCCTCAGGAGGAGGTCTCCTTGAGAGTAAGGCTTGGGGCTAATTGGCCACTCCCTTAGCCTATTTAAGGACGGACGACGACTGAGGCAATTTGCAGGGAACAACTTAGTTCACTCTCTTTCGTGTCTTGATCTTTTATCAGTTACCTGCAAATTGCTTCTGGGCTTTCTGCCAATCCTAGTAAGATTATGATTATTTATTCTTTGGAGTCTTGTAGGCTGTTAAGAAAGTTAATTAACAGCCTTTATTTGAAAAAGACTGATTTAATTTAGTAAACTAAGGTTTGTACAGACTTTGTGTGTGCTGTCGTCAGTTTTTAAAAATGTGCTTGGGTGTTCAGACTTCAAATGTAGAATTTGAAACTGATTGCAAAAAAACACATATGTTTATCTCTGGAGAAATTCTCATTGAAAACACAATTTTATAATGGATCTTCATTTTATCAAAGATTCTTATATTGCAAAAGTCACTTTTTAAGTCATTTTGTTTGGCCAGTGAACATTTACACATAGTTCTAGAAGTATATGTTATTGTAATAATATATATGGCTGTTTTATGGAAGAGTAGTTTTTTATGGCCTCTGTGGTTTCATATTTATATATTTCTGTTGAATATCTTAATGGGAAAAGCAATGTTATAGTTGGGAAAATGGATTTGACAAGGATAGGTAAAATGTATGAAGCAGGAGAATAATTTCAAATGATAGAGGATCTTACTTAGATCAGGGCGGGGAACGATGGCCCTTTTATGACTTGTGGACTTCAACTTCCAGAATTCCTGAGCCAGCCAATTCTAGGAGTTGAAATCCACAAGTCATAAAAGGGCCATCGTTCCAGGGGTGAAATCCAGCAGGTTCTGATGTAGCGGAAATTTTGAGTAGTTCGGAGAACCGGCAAATACCACCTCTGGCTGGCCCCAGATTGGGGGTGGGAATGGAGATTTTGCAATATCCTTCCCCCAGGAGTGGGGAGGGAATGGGAATTTTTCAATATCCTTCCCCTGGAGTGGGGTGGGAATGGAGATTTTGCAGTTTCCTTTCCCTGCCAACCCACCTAGCCACGCCCACCAGGGAAGGATACTGCAAAATCTCCATTCCCACCTCACTCTGGGACCAGGTTCTCCGAACTACTCAAACTTTCCGCTACCGGTTCTCCAGAACCTGCTGGATTTCACCCCTGGTTGCAATGCCTGGATGAAAAATCAATGCTGGTGATTGTGTTGCAACCTCACAACATCTGAATTTTTGCTTGGCCATCCTTGCACCCCACATTAAAATTAATTCAAGATATCTGTATAATTCCTCCCAACATTTCTGGGATATATTCAAATGCCCCTTTCATGTATAATATTTGGACTCTGTATATCTGCTTGTAGGAATCCCTCGAGAAAGACAGACTGCTGAGGGAATTAAGCAGCGTTCGGAGCTTTGAAGTTGAACAGCTGGAAAAAGAACTGAGTGCCACACGGTTACGGCTGAATTTAGTGCAACAAGAGTAGGAAAAAAAACCCCTTTTTTTGTCCTTCTATAAGTTGAAAATATTGAATCCTGTTGTATACAAATAACTTTGCAGTTATTTACAAGCAGAGGACTTCCAGGTATGATGGGACACAACAGGCAGGATTTTCAGCCAGTGTGGCTAGAATTCTGGTGCTTTTTCATTTTTTTAATCCTGTCTTTATTGTTTTTTTAAATAACTCAGGATGGCAAACATACAGATAGTCTTTGACTTACAACCATTCATTTAGCCACCAAAGTTATAATGGTACTAAAAAAAAGTTAGTTTCAACTGGTCCTCAAACTTATGACCATTGCAGCATCTCCAAAGTCACGTGATCCAAATTTGGGTGCTTGGCAACTGGCATGAATGTATGACGGTTGCAGCCTTACAGGGTCATGGGATTGCTATTTGCGACCTTCCTAGATGTTTTGCAAAGTCAATGGGAAAAGCCAGATTTGCTTAACGTCTGGTTGATTTGCTTAACAACTGCAATGATTCTCTTAAAAACCATGCCCAAAAAGTCATAAAATCCAGCATGATTCTCTTAACAACCAGCTTACTTGGTAACAAATTTTGCTCCAGTTATGGTTGTACGTCAAGGATTACCTGTATTTAATACTCCTCCTTCCTCCTATTTTCCCTACTACAATAGATGAGATGGTCTCAGAGAGAATGACTGGCCCAAAGTCATTCAGCCAGCTTTCAGACCTAAGGCAGAACTTGAATACACAGTTACCTGATTTCTAGTCCAGCACCTTAACCACTACACCAAACTACTCCCCCTCCTCCTCCTCCTCCTCCTCCTCCTCCTCCTCTTCTTCTTCTTCTTCTTCTTCTTCTTCCTCTTCTTCTTCTTCTTCTTCTTCTTCTTCTTCTTCTTCTTCTTCTTCTCCATCTCCATCTCCATCTCCATCTCCATCTACAACAACAACAACTTTATTGTCATTACACATGTATACACAGTATATGCATACAATGAAATTCACTTAACATCCAAAGACCAGGTCCAACACACATAAGAATCCCCAAACACACACACCCTCCACCCACTACAAATTCCCCACCCCTAAACCACCCAAACATCCACACAACAGACCAGGTAATGATGGTGGCCCTTTAGTTCATTGTTGAGTGTAATTATAGCTCTGGGATAAAAACTATTCAGAAATTCTTCTTCTTCTTCTTCTTCTTCTTCTTCTTCTTCTTCTTCTTTCTTCTTCTTCTTCTTCTTCTTCTTCCTCTTCTCTCCTCCTCCTCCTCCTCCTCCTCCTCTTCCTCCTCCTCCGTTTTTTGTCATCTCTATCAATCTGGAAAACGAAAAAAGGCTGCTTGACATAATCTAGCATGTGTAGATCATATTGTACAATGAAAGCTGTTTACTATACAATTGATGTAACTGCTTTCACTGACTGTGAAAGTTAAGGCATTTAGTGGGGATGTGATGTGTCTTTTAGTCATTCTTGGTTTCTGTTGACATTTTGGACAAGTCCCTACAATTCTCTCAGCAAAATCTTTGGAAGTGGTTTGCCGTTGCCTTCCTTCTAGGGCTGAGAGAGACTGACTAGCCCAAATCATCCAGCTGGTTTCATGGCTAAAGTAGGGTTACAACTCAAGATTGTCCAGTTTCTAGCACAGTGCTTTAAACCAGGGGTCACCAACCTTTCGGACCTCAGAGACCACTAAATTCATAATTTTAAATCCCACGGACCACTAATATGATTTTTTAAAAAGATAAATAGTACTTAGTGCAATATAAAAAATGCAAATAATTTTTCTGCGGACCACTAAAATTTTCTCATGGACCACTAGTGGTCCAAGGACCACCGGTTGGTGACCACTGCTTTAAACCACTACACCAAACTGGCTCTCAGCAAGTTTATACAACAAGTTGATATACCTAGAGATATAGAGGGGAAAAAAAGCATCTATAAAGGGATTCTCAGATATTGTAGAAAAATATAGCCATTTCCTCATTTTCCCTCAAATAGAAACAATTTTTTTTTTAATTTTCATATGAAGGAAGAAAAAATGTTTTGCTTCCTTGCAAACTTCATAAATTATGAACTGGACATCAACTATAATTATTAACAGTTGATTTATGTTTCTTTATGAGGAGCATATTATTCAGGAACGTCTTGAATTCTACATATATTGTGAGCAAAAGTGACCTAAACATAAATCAATTTATATGGACTTAAATTCTTCTAGAGGTAAAACTACAAATATTTAGAAGCACCTAATTCTTTAAAAAAAACAAGTAACAAGAAATGCTGCCTTTAAAAAAAAGGTTATATTGAGCTATTTATTTCTTTTCCAAGATATTTTTAACATAAAATGCAGCAAAACTAACTCATTTTGCCCTTTATGTAATGGGAACTAGTTTTGTGTAAATGTCAGCCTATATATATAAATATATATATATATTTATCTTAAAATAAAACTATTTTAAGATCTATGAATCTTTCATACAATATATATGAAAGATTCATAGATCTTAAAATAGTTTTATTTTCTATTAGGAAAATAAAATAGGAATATTTCCCTTTGAAACCGTAAAAACACTCACATACTGTACTCCAAAATAAAGTACGTTTAGTAATAATATATTTCAGAATCCTTACAAAATTGAATTCAAGTTTTCATGCTTGTAGTATGGTAGAAGCTGATTGGGGACACCTGGTGGTGGTGGGGGAATAAACATATAGTCTGATACATTAAATGAGGAAAATCCTGTTAAATATGTGAACATTTTGAACTATTTGGATCATTACAGCTGATTTATATAAAAGACCCTGAAACAACATGGAAATATCAAAAATTAGATTCTTATATTATAAAACATCCATCATTCTGTATTTCTGGTTTTCCCATCCTTGAATTATGTTAATCTATTTATATATAGGATGTTTGTGGGACCACAGGATGTTGGTTAGTCTGCCTGGATATGTTTCTTCATGCCAGGCAGGAATGTCATGGACTAAAAGGCACTGATTTCCCACAATTTGGATTAAATGCCATAGTTATTTTTATTATCTATTTATTTATATCCCGTTTTATTATTTTTACAAATAATTTAAGGCGCCAAACACACACACACAATACTATTCCTCCTATTTTCCCATGATAACAACCCAGTGAAGTGAGATGGGCTGAGAGAGAGAGAGTGACTGGCCCAACGTCACCCATCTGGCTTTCATGGCTAAGGCAGAACTTGAACTCATGGTCACCCGCATTCTAGCCTGGTGCCTTAACCACTAGACAAAGCTGGCTTTACAGTTTGACTTAAGAGTTTTAAAATATTTGGATAAAATAAATGACAACTAATTAGATTTTCTTATTGTTTTGCACTACAAAGTGATGTTCGTAACAAATCAGTATCAACAAAAGTTGGATGGAAAACATAACATAAAGACTAACAGTCAAAAGTGACATAAATTGGTACTTGTTTCAATGTCCTTAATAAGAAAAGCAATTCTGGCACTAGTTTCAGATGCAAATTTCCAGTAAACTACACAGCTGGATGGAAAATAGATCAGCAAAGTGGCTGAGGCAATAGAAATTGAAGCTACATGTACTATATAGGATGAACAAATGTCCAATAAACTGCACAGTAGGATACACAGCTCCTAGCAGAGACAATCACGCAGCATCTAAAAACTACAGAACTCCCACATATACAACCCAAAGTTTGGATCTGGACACAATCAACATCTTCAAAGGAATAAAATTCACAAGGGAAAAAGAAAACAACAATATAGTACCCTTCCTGGATATCAGCACAGGAAACGATGTCAAATTTTAAATTCAAAACAACCGACAATAACTACCCGGTAAGTGTTCCATTGTCAAAGTAACAACCCAACCTCCCACAAGAGGAGTTGTGTACAAACGCACTACATCAGAAAAAGAAAATAGACCCCTTATACAACATCGACAAAAAAGGATACTCATACAGTTTTATTGGAGCCTGACCCCCTACGGCATAAATGACGCAAGCGATAAAAAGAATAATACACCCAAAACATCTTAGAAACTACAGCAGACTGCTACAATCGTATTGCATTATCGTGGCCCACTAACTAAAGCCCTTCAAAACATGTTAAGTAAACCCAAAGACCCAGCAGCTGAAAAAGACAAAACGGGAATACTCTACAATATACAATGTAAGGATTATAACAGCCACCAGACAGAATAGTTCCATGAACACCAGCTAGCAGTTATCCCAATGGTGGTTTTTCAAGAGGCAACTGGACTTTCTGGTTTTTTCTTTGAAGACGTTTCGCTCCTTCTCCAAGAAGCTCCTTCTGCTAGCAGTTAGAAGATACTGTAAATGAAAACCCCTTAATCTTACAATACAAGGACAGACTCAACCATACATAGTTTTAGCCAGGGAAACTTTGAGCATCCCAGACAGCCATCAATAAACATAGAAAAGGCAAAACATTCAAAAGAAAGAACAAAAAAAAAAAGCTAAGAAGGAAAAAATAACTGGAACATCTATCTCCTCTTCAGCAACCAAGCAGGGATGAACTTCAGATAAGCAATCAAGCAGAAAACAATAGCCTATCGAGCACCAAGAATTCAAGCTAGATAGAATAGAATAGACTAGACTAGACTTGACTTGACTTGACTTGACTTGAATTGAATTGAATTGAATTGAATTGAATTAAATTCTTTATTGGCCAAGTGTGATTGGACACACAAGGAATTTGTCTTGGTGAATACGCTCTTGGAGTACATAAAAGAAAAGATACATTCGTCAAGATTCATAAGGTACAACACTTAATGATAGTCATAGGGAAATCTATATTCTCCTCATTAATTCTCAATTTGTGAGTAGTTGGAAATTGTAACTCTTGAGATTGCTGAATCATACTTAATGATGAAGGATGTTGAGAATTGTAATTACAATTATATCAGGAGGGCCACAGCCTCACTGTGCTTGTGTCAGCAAGTCCAAGAATCACAATTTTAGAAGGCAACATATTTTAAATGCACACTGTGTTTGGGCAAATAACACAACTTTCTTGAGTCTGTCAGAATTCCATGCATCTTAACCACTTTCTTTTGTTGCTCAGCTGATCAAACATCAGAAGACTTGTTTCCTATTAATAAATTAATTCCTTAAAATAGTTTTGATCTCCTTTTTTTAAATCATACTTAGCAAGAATGATATTTTCCTTCTGTCAAAAATACATGAATTTGCTGAAGATTGTTAGAGTTGAGGAAGGGTTGAAGGAGGAACACAGATTTTACTGGAGGGAAATCTTAAGTTTGTCTTACTTCTCAATGCTCCTCAATGTATGTATAGCAGGATAGTGGGACAGATTGATGAATAAATTTGAAATATATGTTGTAGACATTTGCCTGGAATGTTAAAGTGTGTTTCTGTGTGTGTGAAAAGTAAAGACAGTCATCGTGGCAGATAAATTACATTTAAAATGAGAAGGTTATCTCTGTTTACTTGAACATGTAGTAATGGAGAGAGCTCTCCCAAGAGATTTATTGGGTTTGCAGTTTTAAAGACACTGCTCCCTATTTCATTGGAGTGGGGGGGGGGGATCATATTTTTTTCAAACTAGAAAAAAATAGTGTATTTACATTTAAAGATATATCTTTGGGTATTACATTCTCTTGCAGTCTGACAGAAGCTAAATTGTCTCTTGAAGACACAAAGACCAAATCAGCTACTACTCTTTTGGCAGCAGAAGACGAAATTGTTCAGCTAAAAACAGAGTAAGGAAAAAAAAACAAAACACCTTATCATGGAGGGCTATTTATAACTTACCTATTTGTCAAAATTTTAAATTTTTCTAAAGGTTTTAGATTTTTTCATTTTACAATGGTCATAATTTATTGAGCTGAGTTGCTTTTGGACAGATACAGATGACTTTTCTTACAAGTACCTGTTTTTGAATATTTAGTATGTAAAAAGAAATATATACGATGCCTTACTTTTTTGAGTGAAAGAAATGGAGCAACTTGTTACAATATGATTTTAAACTAATTAAGATGCCAGGGTTACAAACAGTCAATCTCAACTTCGAAATCTCAGTACAGTCTGCAAATCTTAGATCGAGGGTATCAAACTCACATTGTCACGGCAGCATCACGTGATGTATCAGGACTTCCCCCCCCTTCGCTAAACCGGGCATGGGCGTGGCCAGCGCATGACGCATCCAGCTTGCAGGCCGGGAGTTTGACAACCCTGTCTTAGATTGATTAAAAGATCAAACCAACAAACAGGTTTTGTGTGCTCTGTGGCCTTGAAATAAAACCAACATAGTTTTATTAGGTTTCTATCCTATCACATGTACTTGATTGGCCAAAAATATTTGAGCGTATTCCTTACATTTACACTCTTCTGACTAAACAGATAGAGAAAACTGATGCTGCAAGGCTCTTCATAGAATCATAGAGCTGGAAGAGTCCTTGGAGGTCTTCTAATCCAACCTCCTGTCCAGAGCAGGTGACCTTATCCCATCATGGACAAAGGGTTGCCCAATCTTTTCTTGAAAACCTCCCAACTACGGAGCACCCACAATGAAGATGAAGCATCTTCATCTGATCTCATTTGATCTCATTATCTCATCACCTTAATCCTAAAGTGTTTCTGCATAGTTTGAGATAAAATTCTAGGCTGTTGTTTGTTTGTAGAGCATCTTTGCATTGCATTGCATTGGCATCCTTCAGTCTCAAGAGACTATGGTATCGTGCTCTGGAAAGAGGTCCTAAAACAGCATCTAGTGTGACTAAAAAGACCAATCGAGAGTGGCAATCACTTCCACACTGAGGGCAGATACATTCTGCCCCCTGCCCAGCCCCCAGATTTCGCTGGTTCCGGGAGTGCCTCTTTGCCTCAGCCTGCCGAACAAGTGTAGAGCATCAATAGCTAGACTAACTCTGCCTTTAAAAATGTAATGGTTTTGTTAACTGTTTTCTGCTTTAGCATTTAATGCACTCGTTCAAGTTATTTTTCACTGAAGTTCTTCAAATGTTTAATATCTACTTATCTATTCTAACATAATTGGAACCTTCTATATTGCATTTTTAAACATTTTCCTGGCAAACACATGGCATGATTTTTGTAATTCAGCTGCTCTGCTCTATTAATAAGGACACAGATCCTCTCCACATGTGGACTCCATAATCCTTTACCATTGGCTAAGCTGGCTGAGACTGATGGGGGTTGAAGTTTAAAACGTCACATGGACAGTAGATAGGCTAATTATTTTTTTCCAGATGGTGAGGTGGGTTCCTCCCGGTTCGGCCCGGTTCAGCCGAGCCAGTAGCAGTGATGATATGACGTCACCGAACAGGTTCTCTTTGTTCGGGAGTTGGGCCCTCCTGCCCCCGCGTTATTCTTACCTTTTATTTGGCCCCGTCCCCAATCTATTGCAGCCTCCCGAGTCCCAGCTGATCGGCTAGAAGGAAAAAAACTGTTTAAACTCTTGCCGCGGGCCTTCAAAGGGCCGCCCTACAGCTGATCAGTGTTAAAAGCAGTGTGGTGGTAGACCGGTGCCTCCAAAAACAAATGGGTTTTTGGAGCCCAGGCTCCTTCCTGTCTCAGTTCCTATTGGCTGACCCAGTTGCTATGCCTATTCATTGGCTGACCTTGTTACCATGTCTCTATTCCAGTTCATGACAAGTATGAAGCCAGTCTTCTTCCAGGTCCTATTCCAGTGATGGCGAACCTTTTCGGCACTGAGTGCCCAAACCGGAACTCATGTGCATGTCCATGCGCCGGAGTGCCGAGAACCTGAAAACCAGTTGGCCAGTGCGCATACGTGCGCCAGCCAACTAATCTTCTGGTTTCTGGCACTCTCATGCACGCCAGCTAGCTGGTCTTTGTGCGCACCAGAGCACTGGAAACCTGAAGATCAGCTGGCTGGTGTGTGCATGCCTGTTTTTTGGCCTTTTTTTCATGCCATTTTCAGGCCATTTCTCCGGCCATTTTCAGGCTTTTTTCCGGCCGTTTTCTGGGCCATTTTTAGGCCATTTTCTGGCACTTCGGCGCCCGCGAAGAGCAACTGGTGACAGCGCTGTTGGCTTAGTGACCATTTGAAGTTACAACAGCACTAAAAAAAGGTGACTTATGACCATTTTTCACACCATTGCAGAATCCACATGGCCACACGACTTACATTTGGATGCTTGACTCATATTTATGACGGTTGCAGTGTCTCGGGGTCCCGTGATCCCCTTTTGCAACTTTCTAACCAGCAAAGCCAATGGGGAAGCCAGGTTCACTTAGCAACGGTGTTACTCATTTTAACAACTGCAGTGATTCATTTAACAAATGTGGCAAGAAAAGACATAAACTGAGGCAAATTTCTCACTTGGCAACATAAATTTTGTGCTCAATTGTGGTCGTAACTTGAGGAGTACCTGTAATTTCATACTAAATAATTTTCATGAATTTAGCAAAAATAACACAACCAAGTGAGACTTTATCTTCTAATATTAGGCTGGCCTTACTTATAAAACGCTCCATTCCAAAGATGGCGGTTGTTGTATTTTTTACATTAAAAAAAAAACACCCTGTATATTGCTGGAATGGAATTGGAAAAGTTATTGTCTTAGAGCAGGGGTGGGCAAATGTGGCCCTTTTACAACCTGTGGACTTCAACTCCCAGAATTCCTGAGACAGCAGGAATTCTGGGAGTTGGAAGTCCACAGGTTGTAAAAGGGCCACATTTGCCCACCCCTGTCTTAGAGAGCTCTGAAAGTTTTTCTATTATATATCTTTAGATATGTATGACTTTCACATTTTTAAAGATCAGGGTTAGAGTTTATTGGCGTATGACATTGAGTTGTCAAGGGGCTGATTGAACGCTGGAAGTTTTCCGTCATTCTGTTCATCATATTCCACACTGTGATTTTAGCAGCCATTGTACTGGAATCTTCTGAATTATTTCGCCTGTGTGCTTCTGTGATGTGTGCAGCAGGGGTGAAATCCATCAGGTTCTGACAGGTTCTGGAGAACCGGTAGCAGAAATTTTGAGTAGTTCGGAGAACCGGCAAATACCACCTCTGGCTGGCCCCAGAGCGGGGTGGGAATGGAGATTTTGCAGTATCCTTCCCCCAGAAGTGGGGACGGAATGGGGATTTTGCAGTATCTTTCTCCTGGAGTGGGGGTGGAAATGGGGATTTTGCAGTATCCTTCCCCTGCCACACCACTAAGCCACGCCCACCAAGCCACACCACACCCACCAAGCCACGCCCACAGAACCGGTAGTGAAAAAATTTGGATTTCACCCCTGGTGTGCAGCATTATATATCAGTATTACATTTATTTTATGTAATTGTCATGGTTGCTTTGAATCCAAGTGGGTAAAGAAAAATCAGCCATATGTAAAGTCGATTTGCTTGCAGGTAGTGCAATCTGTCAGATGTAAATGCTTATTCTCCAATGTGTAAATAATGTATATATGGAACATCAGAGGTTAACTATTCGGACTAATGTATTCATAACTTACACTCCCATTCCTAGCTCCATTGTATATATAAGTGCCACCCTCACCATTCTTGTCGCTCTACCTTGAATATTCAGTGATATAGAATGCCTATCATAATTAAAAATATATTTAATAACTTCTATTATCTTTATTGAGTCTGATCCTGAAAATATTGCAACATAAACAATGGTGTGAAATTTTTTAAATGCCTCCTGTTGATTTTTAACGATGTAATCAAACTTATCAGAATCTTGATAAGAGCCTTGGTGGCGCAGCAGACTAAAGTGCTGTTAAATAACACCAGCTGCCTCCAATTACCGCAAGTTCAAATCTCACCAGGCTCAAGGTTGACTCAGCCTTCCATCCTTCCGAGGTAGGTAAAATGAGGACCCAGATTGTGGGGGCAATAAGCTGACTTTGTATAAAAAAAGAACACCGCTTGGGCAGAGGGCCGAAACCCTACTAAGCAGGTATATACAAAAGTATGAAGGCTATTGCTTAACGCATTGTAAGCCACCCTGAGTCTCCGGAGAAGGGCGGCATATAAATTGAACCAATAAATAAAATAAATAAATAAATACAGTCATAATTAAATAGAATTGTTAAATTGTCCTGCAGTAAATTGCTCCATGGCAAGATGGCTGTGGTGAGTTGTCCTGCAGTGAATTGGCTGTGATGAGTTGGCGGTGGCAATTTGTCCCATTCTGTATAACGCATCCCATTCCATTTGAAATCAGTGGGGAAACTACTTATACGGAGCCTCATATGATCGATAAGAGAGGGATAGAGGCTCCCTGTGTAAAGGGAGTGGGAACTTTCCTTGGATTGGAAGGTAAGGCCTATATCAGGGGTCAGCAACCTGTGGCTCCGGAGCCACATGTGGCTCTTTGGGCCCTCTGCTGTGGCTCCCTGTCAGGTGATCCCACCATTGGCTGGCCCCGCCCCTCACCCTCCCCTCCCAGTCACTCCTCGCCTGGCCTGAGAAGGTAAGGGCGACGGCGGGGGATGGAGAAGCGGCCAGGGCAGAGACAGAGAGATAGATTGAGAAGGGGAGAGAGAGAGAGAGACAGAGAGAGATACAGAGAGAGGGAGGAAGAGAGGGAGGGGGGGAGGGAGGGAGGGAGGGGAGAGAGAGAGATATGTCAAAAGGATTGTGTGCTTCCTGTGTTTTTTAACAACTGGTTCTCTGCGCTAATGACCGGCTGGGTAGGCGTGGCTGGGGGGGGTCATGTGACTGGTGGAAGTGAGTGACATCGAGTTGGCCACGCCCACCCAGGTTTTGTGGCTCCCGGTGTTTTCTTTTCTGTGGGAAACGGGTCCAAATGGCTCTTTGAGTATTTAAAGTTACGGACCCCTGGCCTATATATATAAAGGGGAGTGGCCTGGGAAACCAAGGTAGAGAACAGAAAACACACCTTTGTGCAAATGAGCAGTATTGGGCAGAGTGGGATAGGAAGACTCGAGTATTGACAGGGGCAGTAACTTTTAAGTTGACAAGACTAGCTGCTTTCTCCTACCACTTTTGGAATTCAAGTAGATTGGAAGCCTGGGTGGTTTTTTAAATACCTCTAAACAACATGATATGCCTCAATGTTTATAATCTTATAGCTAATAATAGAATGCAGAAAGTTCCACATGGCTCTTGTGTGGCTAAGGGATTTCTTTAAAAAAAAAATGCTAAGGTTTACTTTAAATTGTGAGGATGATTTGTCATCTGTGTAGCAGAAATCTTGAATTACCTCCCGCTTACCATTTTTTAACCTCCCATGCAGATGTTTCACAGAAGGCAGAACATTATTTCAATATTTCATTTTATCTGATTTATTTTTTTGTGGTTAAGCCTAAAGGCTTCTCGGGCAAAATCAGATAGCACTTTGGAGAATCTAGAACAGCTGGATGAGTATGAGAATCAGCTTCAGACGTTGAAGGATGAAATTGCTATCCTTCGGGCTGAGAAGTCTCTTCTTCAAAGCAGGTAAGGACTTGTGAAGTTTTTGGGGTTTTTTTTTGCAGTTTATGACAGCCAAAAAGTGAGCTTCTTTTCTCAAAGGGATTCTTCTTTAAGTAGATCTATTCCTACATTCATTTTATTTATTTATTTATTTATTTATTTATTTATTTATTTATTTATTTATTTATTTACCGCCCTTCTCCCGGAGGACTCAGGGCAGTGTACAGCCACAAATAAGAAACATAAAATACAAACATTAAAAACAATTAAAAGAATATATATCTATTTGGCCCCATAATTTAAAAAGTGACAAACCAATTAAAAACATTTAAAAAAAATTTTAAGCCAGCCCGGCTTGCTGGAAAAGGAATCTCATTAGAGATTCTTGGTCTTCCTCTATTCCAGTGATGGCTAACCCTTTGGTAGTTGCGTGCCAAAAAAGGGGAGCACGGGGGGTTGTGTGTGCCCACACCCATAATTTAATGCCCCCCTGTCCCCTATCTCCCCACACATGCGTACACTATCCCCGTACATGCGTGCATGACACCCTGTGCATGTGTGCATGACACCCCCCCGCGTATGCGTGCACGACACACACCCCACACCCCATTTTGGGCCTAGCAGACCTCCATGAAGCCTCTGGAGGCTGGAACCGGCCCATTTCCAGACTTCTGGTAGGCCTGTTTTTTGCCCTCCCCAGGCTCCAGAGGCTTTCTTGGAGCCTGGGGAGGGCAAAAATGGCCTCCCTCCCCCTCCAGAGGCCCTCAGGAAAATGCCCTCCCAGAGCCTCTGTGCGAGCCCTGTACTTACCTGGCATCCAAAACAGGCCGCGTGGAGACTCCTGAGAGGGGAGGGGCTGCATGGGTGGAGCCAGCCAAAAATCTGCTGACCGGCAAGCACATGTACGCTGGAGCTGAGCTAGGGCAATGCCTCGCGTGCCCGCAGATATGACTCCGCGTGCCACCTATGGCACGTGTGCCATAGGTTCGCCATCGTGGCTCTATTCTATTTGTGATGGACTGGAGAAATGGTTAGATGTTTTCTGGATGAAAAAGAATGTGCAGATAACAGAATAACAGAGTTGGAAGGGATCTTGTAGGTCATCTAGTTCAACCCCAGCAGGAGACCCTACTCCACCATTTCTGACAGATGGCAGCCCAGTCTCTTCTTGAAAGCTTCCAGTGATGGAGCACCCACAACTTTTGAAGGCAACTTCTGTTCCATTGATTGACTGTTCTCACTGTCAGAAAATGTCTCCTTATTTCTAGATTGAATCTCTTATTCCTTGTCTGGCCTTCAGATGATTTGGAAAATAGGTTGACCCCCTTCTCTCTGTGACAGCTCCTCAAATATTGGAAGAGTGCTATCATGTCTCCCCTGGTCCTTCTCTTCACTAGACTAGCCATGCTTAGTTCCTGTAACCGTTCTCCATATGTTTTAGCCTCCAGTCCCCTAATCATCTTCGTTGCTCTTCTCTGCCCTCTATCTAGAGTCTCAACATCTTTTTATAGCGTGGTGACCAAAACTGGATGCAGTACTCTAGGTGTTGTCCTACTAAAGCTTTATAGTCTGGTATTAGTACCTCACATGATCTTGATTGAATCCCTCTGTTAATGCAATTTAGGATTGCATTGGCTGCCGCTACACACTGTTGGCTCATGTTTAATTGGTTGTCCAATATGATTCCAACACCCCTCTCACAGTTACTGCTATTAAGTCTGGTTTCTCCCAATCTATATATGTACTTCTGGTTTTTCTTGCCTAAGTGTATGACTTTACTTTTCTCTACACTGAATTTCATTTTGTTAGTCAGGGCCCAGTGTTCAGCCTGTCAAGTTGTTCTGTGCTTGAATATTTTTCCTATTTCTATCCAGTTTCCCATGGTCTGAAAAGCTCATTACAATAATTTATTTATTTATTAAATTTATACACGACCCGTATTACCATGGAGAGCGATACTGGGGATTATTATATTTCCTTGATCTGGGGAAAGAGGCCATATCCATAGATTTGCAATTCAGTTACTCTTGCCTGTCAGTTCAAGATGGAACATCTTCCCCCAAAGAGAAAGAATCGTATCTACTGAAACATATTTTTTTTTTAAAAAAAACATCATTAAACATTTCTTGAATTTGGGAATATTCAAGAAACTAATTTGATGCATCAAAGTGTACTAGAATCAAAAGCAGTAAAGTATCTCACTATGATTAAAAAAAATTGGATCATTAACGTAACTTTATAAGCAATAATGATAAAAATGGCTGGTGTTTTAGTAAGACCAATAGAAACAATAATATTATATTCCGAAATTTATTTTTTTTAACTAGAGGTAATCCTCAACCTATGACCACAATTGAGCCCAAAATTTATATTGTTAAGTGAATTTTGCTCCATTTTATGACTTTTCTTGCCATGCTTGTGAAGTGAATCACTGCAGTTGATATGTTAGTAATTTGGTTGTGAAGTGAATCTGGTTTCCCCATTGACCTTGCTTGTCAGAAGGTCACATAAGTCACATTTTTCAATGCCGTTGTAACTTTGAATGGTCACTAAATGAACTGTTGTAAGTCGAGGACTATCTGTACTTGGAGCAAAGGGTTTGTAGCAGTAAAAATTTTGCCCTTCGGCAAATCTGTTTCAGACTTGCACGGAATCGATCTTCTTCTCCGAGACTTACCCGAAGTAGATCGCCTAGTCCACCTCCAGCACGAAATTTTTCGCCCAGCCGAGGGAGACTTACTCATGCTTTGCGCCACACTCGCCTTGTGGAACGATTCAACGACATTTACTCTCAGGAACGCCTAAACGCTCAAACTCTCTTGAGGAGCTACACAGATGATCTGGAAACGGTCCAGAGAATAATCTATACCGCTGTTGTGGTATGACACGCAAGTATTTTTTTTTATGCCATTAATACTCATTACTTTGATAAGTGCAAACGGATCATAAACTGCCTTGGTAGTACAGTGGTTTAAGGCACCCTGTTATTAAGCTGGTTATTAAGACCAGCTGCCTGCAATTACTGCAGGGTTCGAATCTCGCCAGGCTCAAGGTTGACTCAGCCTTCCATCCTTTCTAAGGTAGGTGAAATGAGGACCCAGTTGTGGGGGCAATAAACTGACTTTGTATAAATATACAAAAGGATGAAGGCTATTGCTGAGCACATTGTAAGCCGCCCTGAGTCTTCGGAGAAGGGCGGCATATAAATCCAATTAAAAAATAAAAAAATAAAAAAAATTAGAACAGTGATGGGTTGCTCCCAGTTTGGTCCGGTTCTATAGAACCAGTAGTAAAACCAGCGGGAGGCTCCGCCCACCCACCATAATGTCAACATGGTTGTTCTGCGCATGTGCAGAAGTTTCTGCGCATGTGCAGAAGTGCGCACATGCGCGAGAGAGAAGCGAGAGAGAGAGAGCTCCTGCTGCAAACTGGTAGTAAAGGTAAGTAGAACCCACCTCGGGGTTAGAAGCTTCAGTGTTGGAACTCCTGGAGTTCCAGATTTCATTACAGAAATCTGAAACGTTGATGTTGGCTCAACAGTATGCTTATTGGAGATGTTTTATGAAGAACTAGTTCAATTGCACATGAAGCATAAGAGCCATAATAAGAGCCTTGGTAGTACAGTGGTCTAAGGCACCCTGTTATTAAGCTGGTTATTAAGACCAGATGCCTGCAATTACTGCAGGTTCGAATCTCGCCAAGGCTCAAGGTTGACTCAGCCTTCCATCCTTTCTAAGGTAGGTAAATTGAGGACCCAGTTGTGGGGGCAATAAGCTGACTTTGTATAAATATACAGAAGAATGAAGGCTATTGCTTAGCGCATTGTAAGCCGCCCTGAGTCTCCGGAGAAGGGCGGCATATAAATTAAATTTAAAAAAAAAAAGCAGTGGTGGGTTCCTCCCGGTTCAGCCCAGTTCAGCCGAGCCGATAGCGGTGACGATATGATGTCACTGAACCGGTTCTCTTTGTTCAGGAGCTGGGCCCTCCCGCCCCCCCACCCCCCCTGCGTTATTCTTACCTTTTATTTGATCCACCCCCAATCTATTGCTGCCTCCTGAGTCCCAGCTGATCGGCTAGAAGGAAAAAAACTGTTTAAACTCTTGCCACGGGGCTTCAAAGGGCCGCCCTACAGCTGATCAGTGTTAAAAGGCAGTCTGGTGGTAGACCGGTGCCTCCAAAAACGAATGAGTAGACCGGTGCCTCCAAAAACAAATGGGTAGACCAGTACAGCTCTGCAAGCAGTTAAAAGCCTGGTAGACCAGTACCTCTGCTAAATCCTAAAGAATTGTCACATGACCATCAAGCCATGCCCACAAAATAAGCCACACCCACAGAATCGGTAGTAAAAAAATTTAGAACCCACCCCTGACATGAAGCCTCCACCAGATAATTTATAAGTGGCCACTGCTGGCTTGCTTAGAGTTTATTTTATGAACTTGTATTTTTTGTGCCCTTAAAAGAAGATCCATGGTTTGTTTCTCTGATTAGTTAACCCAGAAGTCATTAACAGCTGCCTGAAATCTCTGAAACAAGCAAATAGCTGGCATTGGCTACTACCGGTAAAAAGAATAGCACTTAGCACTAAGACTTATATACCGCTTCACACTGCTTTACAGTTTACAGTCAGAATATCACCCCTAACAATCTGGATCTTCATTTTACCCACCTCGGAAGGATGGAAAGCTCACTCAACCCTGAGCGGTCCAGATAGAACTCCTGGCAGTCATCAGAATTAGCCTGCAATACTGCATTCTAACCACTATGCCAGCAATAGCTAGTATGCATCCTTGAATATATCATTACAAATTATACACCACCTCAGTTGGCATACCATATACAGTAGTGGTCAAAATTGTGGAAACCTTTTGGGAAAAGTGTATTTTATAAAACTAGCTAATAACATCACTTTTTAGGGGGGGAGTAGTACCATAAAATTATATATCAATGGAAAGATAATTTAATCAAGAATGTAAGGCAATAATTTTTATGAAGGATTTGCTATTAGAATAGCAGGTACAGTATAAAGGAGAAAAGTGAAACGCGTAGAAAAAACGAGATATACAAAAATTATCACCATAGGAAAAACGAGATATACAAAAATTATCACCATGTCAGTTAATAGTTGGGTAACCTTTAGCATGAATTATGGCCTTACAATGTCTTCCCATGGAGTGAACCAAGCCTTTTAGTTCTACAGCTGTTATAATGTGAAACCAAGATTGAATGATGGCTTCTATTAACTGGGTTTATTGCTGGGTCGCTTCTGACTAACAAGTTTCTTTAGTCGGGTCCATAGATTTTCAATTGGGTTAAGGTCTGGGCTATTCTCAGGCCATTCCAGCAGTGGAATAGGATTATCTTGAAACTCCCCCCCCCAAAAAAAAGAAAAAAAGAAAAGGGGGTGTTATTAGCTATCAACCCTCAAAAATACACTTTTCCCAAAAGGTTTCCACAATTTTGGCCACTACTGTAGTATTTGGGTTGCAAACATCAAGATGGCTATTAGCTGGCAGGAAAGAACATTTTCTGTATCTTTACTGCCATCTAATGGTTGTCCAAATGTTTGCAGCATAGATACTTTGTCTTTACAAGATTTTGAAAAAAAAAAACAAGAATGTACATTGTGTTTACCTTTTATTAATTAGATTATTTTAATTTAGTTAACTTTAATATGGATCATTAATTGGAAAAAATAAAGACTATCCTTATTCTTGCTCCATAAACATACCATCCAGGGGTGAAATCTACTTACCTTTCTTACCAGTTCAGAAGCACACACGCTGCGCGCATCACATGCGCGCACAGACCTGCGCATGCACAAAAACTGTGCATTCACAGAGGGTAAAAAACACTTTACTTTCTGGTTAATACCAGGAAGTAATGACAGCCGGGCGGGTGGGCGGAGCTTTGCTCCGCTATCGCTACCGGATCGCCAAACCACTGGCCAAGATTTCTACTGGACCAGGCGATCCGGTCCGATCCGGGAGCATTTCACCCCTGATACCATCTATACGTGGTGTTTTGCAACCACTAATCCTATTTGCATCATTCTGTAGATACAAATACATTTTTGTATATATTTTTTATATTATTAATCAGAATTTTTAAAGCATTGCATCAGTATAACAGAGTTTAAAATAGCATAGATTAACAACTGGGTAAGCTATTTTATCACGAGATTCGATTATCTGTATTGCTTGGGCATCTAAATTTAATTGCTCTTCTCTCCTTTGCAGGAGTCCTTCTACGCAGCAAAGAAAGCCTTCAGACAGTTCAAAATGCGCGTTAGAAAGACACTCTCTCTCAGTTACTCAGGGCCTGAACCCCTTGAAGATATGGTGATGGACTATATCATTCGTCAGGAAGATCTGTATGATGTTCAGTCCAGCGTCAGTGTAAGTCTGGGACAAAGTTATATTGCTCAATAAAACACTGCTGCTTTCATAAACTGCATCTTCAAAGCAATCTACGAGGACAATTCCATACAGACCATTTTACAGTAGTACAACCTTACTGTTGAGAGCATGAGTCATTGTTGTCAGGATATTTTTTCCCCCAAGAAGAGCCACAAGTGGTGTAGCAGACAAGGCTGATGAAGTGTTTCCCAGCCATGGCCTCCACCTGCTGATTTCTAATTAGAAACTATGGATTTTGGTGAAGCATCTGAATGGTAGTCTGGGTTGGAACTATGTCACTGGATATCATCAGCATACTGTTGGTATATCTCCCAAACTGATGGATTTCTGTTCTGACCTACGCTTCCTTGAGTAGCAAGAAGCAGAGTCTTAGTCCCGGTAAAAACCCCTTTTATTTACACGACTGTGAATTACGTACATTCACAGTCAGCACGGCTTTGCAAACAGTCTTTCAGAGGCATATTTATTAACACGCCTTATCTCGCTGGGTAGGCTGCCAGATAACTTAGTTTCCAGAACTTTCCACTTCGGCAAAGACCGACTGAACGAATTGTTTCCTGCAAAAGCCCCCTCCCCGTTCGCTCCTCTTTTGTTTCCTATGGGAGGGGCCAATCACCTCCAAGGTGTGGCTTTACTCCTGAGTCGACCCTGCTTTCTTAGTTGTTCTTGTCTTCTGGCAGCTCTGGCAGCATTACTACCAGTTCTGTGGGCGTGGCTTGGTGGGCATGGTGTGGCTTGGTGGGCATGGCAGGGGAAGGATACTGCAAAATCCCCATTCCCTCCCCACTCCTGGGGGAAGGATATTACAATATCTCCATTCCCACCCCACTCTGGAGCCAGCCAGAGGTGGTATTTGCCGGTTCTCCAAACTGCTCAAAATTTCCGCTACCGGTTCTCCAGAACCTGTTAGAACCTGCTGAATTTCACCCCTGATCTAGGAGTGTTTGGAAGACGGGGTGTCAAAAAGGCAAGATAGCAGCCATAACCAAGTGATTGAATCTTTACCCCTTTACTTAGGATGCATTAGAAAGGGGGCAGGGCTTCAGTTCTGGTTTCATGGCTGCCATCTTGAGCCTTCAGATATCTCTGAAAACATCTCGATTCCTAATTATGTCTGACTCCATTGTCTCTCCAACTGAATAACTGCGGCAGCAGAAAAAATCTTTAAGTCAACCCTTAAAATAATTTTTTTTAGTGAAATAGCACATAGTAACCACTTCATTCATTTAGTTAAGTTCAATGAAAAGTATTACAACATAGTTTCTGATGGATGCCAGTATGTTGATGATGTGAATTTGGAAAAAAAAATAATTAGGAAGCCACTTGATCTTAACCTGGTCATTCCGTCATTTTGTGTTCCAGTTTCAAATGGCCTATCTGCATTTGTTGCTTTTTGGGGGGGGGCGTAATTACTTTTCTGTAGGAAATAACCACGCATATTTTTATATGCTTTCAGGAAGTCATCCGTGCACTGAACATCAGTCCTAAGATTTCTCTTCCAGGAGTTGACTTCATCATGATCGGTAGTTTGATACGAGAGTTATGCCGGATAGCTTTTTCCATGCAGACTCTGGATCCTCCTCTGGATGTTTCTTTTGGTACAGATGGAGAGCTGTTCAGCGAATACAAGTAAGGGAAACAAATCAGGCATGTTCTGCATTCCTAATAAAAAAAAACAACCCCCCAAAAGATGCAGAGGCACATTCACCTCCCTGAATGGAGACGCGATAAATTAAAAACCACACTCAACGTGTAGCCCTTAATGGAACTGCACCTACATGCAGGGGTGGGATTGAAAAATTTTAGCAATCGGTTCTCTGCCCGGTTGCTGGATGAGCGTGGCCATGGGGGCGTGGCCTAGTCAGCTTCCAGCACCGTGGTGGTGGGGGGAGCGTTTTCGCCCTCCCCAGGCTCCGGAGGTTTTCCTTGAGCACCCAGGAGGTTGAAAAAAGGCCTCCCACGAGCTCCGGAGGCCCTCTGGAGGCCAGAAATGGGCCCGTTTCTAGACTTCCAGTACTTCCAGTAGGCCTGTTTTTCACCCTACCAGAGCCTCCACGTGGGCCCTGCACTTACTTGCCATCCAAAATGGGCTGTGTGGAGACTCCTGGGTGGGGCCCGGTGGGCGGGGTCAGCCAGTCCTTGCAACTACCGGTTTGGCGAACCAGATTAATACTAGCATCCGCTTCGCCTGAACCGACTGAATCCCACCTCTGCCTACATGGAGGAAGTAAACAATGGGGTGCCCCAAGGCTCCGTTTTAGGCCACATCTTCATAAACGATTTAGATGAGGGAACAGAAGGGGAACTCATCAAATTTACAGATGATACTAAGCAGGCAGGAATAGCTAATACCTCAGAAGATAGGGTCAAGATCAGGGTGGATTTGATTTAAATCGAGTTGATTTAAATCATGATTTAAATCATGATTTAAATCACTAGTAAAAAGGCTTGATTTGAATCAACTCGATTTAAATCATAATTTTTAAAGAGCAACTGTCATCTCTGCTACTCCTTTGACCCACTGTTGACTCACCGATAGTCCCAGTGTTGCAGAATATACAGCCTCCTGCTACATAACTAAGCTCCATTTCATGCTGAATAAACTAAATTATTTATGTATCTTAAATAGAAAACTATCTTACGATAGATTTTTACCCCAAAAGTTTTTTATTACAATAAATTCGATAAAAATCAAAAAAATCTGATTTAAATCAAAAAAATCTGATTTTTTTGATTTTTTTTTAAAAAAATCATTGATTTTTGTCCACTCTGCTCAAGATTCAGAAGGATCTTGACAGACTTGAACACGGGGCTCTGTCTAACAAAATGAAATTCAATGGTGAGAAAAGTAAGATTTTACACTTAGGCAAGAGAAATCAAATGTACAGGAATAGAATACTGGCTCAATCCCAGTAATTGTGAGAGAGATCTTGGAGTCCTAGTGGACAATCACTTAACGATGAGCCAGCCGTGTGTTGCAGCTGCCAAAAAAGCCAATGCAATCCTAGGCTGCATTAACAGAGGGATAGAATCAAGGTCACGAGAAGTGATACTACTACTTTAAATGTTTGTTAAGACCACACTCGGAATATTGCATCCAGTTTTGGTTGCCACAATTTAATAAAGATGTTGAGACTCTGGAAAGAGTGCAAAAAAGAACAACAAAGGTGATTAGAGACTGGCGGCGAAAACATACGAAGAACGGTTGCAGGAATTGGGTATGTCTAGTCTAGTGAAAAGAAGGACCAGGGGTGACATGATAGCGGTCTTCCAATATTTGAGGGGCTGCCACAAAGAAGAGGGAGTGGTCATCCTATTTACTAAAGTACTAGAAGGCAGGACAAGAAACAATGGATTGAAACTAATCAAGGAGAGAAGCAACCTAGAACTAAGGATAAATTTCCTGACAGTGAGAACAATTAACCAGTGAAACGGTTTGCTTTCAGAAGTTGTGGGTGCACCATCACTGGAGGTTTTTAAGAAGATACTGGACATCCCTTTGTCTGAAAGAATATAGGGTTTCCTGCTTGAGCAGGGGTTCAAGTAGAATACCTACAAGGTCTCTTCCATCTCTGTTATTCTGTTACTTCTGCATGTTATTTAATAAAGGTAAAGGTTCCCCTCACACATATGTGCTAGTCGTTCCCAACTCTAGGGGGTGGTGCTCATCTCCGTTTCAAAGCCGAAGAGCCAGCGCTGTCCAAAGACGTCTCCGTGGTCATGTGGCCGGCATGACTAAACGCCAAAGGTGCATTGAACACTGTTACCTTCCCACCAAAGGGGGTCCCTATTTTTCTACTTGCATTTTTTACATGCTTTCGAACTGCTAGGTTGGCAGAAGCTGGGACAAGTAATGGGAGCTCACCCCATTACGCGGCACTAGGGATTCGAACCGCTAAACTGCCGACCTTTCTGATCAACAACCTCAGCTTCTTAGCCACTGAGCCACCGCGTCCCATTTGCATGTTATTTAGGGAACGTCATAACACCAAGAACGTAGAATTTTGGCATGCTATTTTCTACGCTTTTTTACAAGATAGACCAGACTAATAAAATATAGGTCAGGATTACTTTTATTGCGATGGCTGTAGGAACAAGAGTTTTCATGTGAACCTGTCTGAGATGTTTCTCAAGTTACTGCTTTGGCTCAGGCTTAAGCTCCCCTTATCTGATCACTATCTTGTTAGCAGCTCTTTCCCCCTGTCTGTCAAGCCATTCTTTATGCCAGGGGTCCTCAAACTTGGCAGCTTTACAACTTGTGGACTTCAACTCCCAGAATTCTCCAGCCAGCTGGCTGGAGAATTCTGGGAGTTGAAGTCCACAAGTCTTAAAGCTGCCAAGATTGAAGACCTCTGCTTTATGCCCTCCGTGCTTGCCTACAAGGAGACACTTGACATTTTATTGCAAGCATCATCTGACACTTTTCCCTTAGTCCTCATGCCAGAGTAAATATGAGAATTGTTCCGAGTGCCCTGGGGAAACACAAGATGGACAGGTGATAACATAAGGGAAGCTCCTACCTGCAACCTCAGCTGTAACTGAATTTCTTTTGTGTCCGATTAGGTACCGTCGCAGCTATGATTCTGATTTCACAGCTCCACTGGTGGCTTATCATGTCTGGCCAGCTCTCCTGGAAGAGGACTCAGTGATTGTGAAGGGAGAGGCCGTAACAAAAAGAGGTGCTCTGGTAGGCTTTTAAAATGTTTAAACGTAGAGGCTGAGACTCCCAAAGGTGCATTTTTTTTCCTCAGGAGGCAACTGGACTTCCTTGTTTTTTTCCTTTGGAAGATGTTTCGCTTCTCATCCAAGAAGCTTCTTCAGCTCTGGCAGGATAGCGGGCAGTGGTGGGGGGCGAACCAGTAGCAGTGGCGGTGGGAGGCTCCGCCCATCCGCCAGATGTCATCAAAAACGCTCTGCGCATGGGCAGAAGCACCATGCGCTTGCAAAGTGAGCCCGCGCGCCCGCGCACTACCAATAGTGAACTGGTAGCGCCAGGATTTGAAACCCACTGCTGATAGTTGTTGTGACCCAGGCCCAAGTAGTTAGTATTAAATGCAAACAGTTCGAAAACAAACAGACTTTATTAAAATAGCTGAGAATTAACTCATTCTCAGCGTAGTCCAAACTAAATTAAAGCAAATTCTTCAAAACACCATTCCACAGTTTTATCACCGACCTTGGGATAATTAGGCAAACTGCCAAAGGCTTTTCTTGGGAAAAGTTCAGAAGCAGAAGACGCCGACAAGAAATGAATACAGTGAAACAAGAACCAATTCACTCAACGTTGTTTTCCAGCAAAGAGGCCAAGAGCCGTTGCTGGCCTTTTAAGCTTTATAGAAGGGTCAATCATCTCTTGGCCTTACTCCCTAGTCGTCCTCTCTGCTTTATCTGCTCCTGCCTTCTGGCAGCTCTTCTCATATGTGCACTAAGAACAGGCTCCTCCTGTTCCTCTGCCTCTCTACTGTCAGCCTCTGGAGGCTCCGAAGTCCGCACATCACTCCCCGATGGCCCTGGCCCCATTTCTGCCTCCGATGCAGAGCCCTCATCCCGGCCTTCCCCAGCCTCCAGGACTGGCCCATGTTCTTCCTCAGCCTCATCGCTGTCTGACTCCGCTGCCATCTCCGCAGGCTGCTGGCGGACCACAACAATAGTGGGGAACGGAAGGATTGATTCACTATCCTATCAGAGCTGAAGAAGCTTCTTGGATGAGAAGCGAAATGTCTTCCAAAAAACCCCCAAGAAAGTCCAGTTGCCCCCTGAGGAAAAAAAAAACAACTTTGGGAAATCCATGACCTGAATGACGGAGAATCTCTACAGACTCATAAAGGCTGAGAGCTCTCCATTGGGTGCCACATGCCACAGATGGTATTAACATAGGAGGGTCTGAAAGGGACAATCAAAAAAGGTCACATTTATGATACTGAACTTAATTTATTGTTCAGCCCTATTTGCTCCAAAGGAAAACACTCTGAGATTTAAAACAATCTACCCATCCACAAAAGGAAGCGTTAGACCGAAAAGGATTACAACTCATACAGAAGTCCCAGCAATGCTCAACATTCCTCCTTTTCAGTCTACTTTCACCTCTCTGCTTAAGGTGTCTATGTACAGGTAGACCTCGAGTTACCACAGTTCGTTTTAGTGACTGTTCAAAGTTACAATGGCACTGAAAAATATGACCGTTTTTCACAGTTATGACTTTTCCAGCATCCCCCATGATCACGTGACCAAAATTCAAACGCTTGGCAGCTGGTTCATACTTATGACCGTTGCTGTCTCCCAAGGTCGTGTAATCATCTTTTGCAACCTTCTGGCGAGCAAAGTCCATGGGGAAGCCAGGTTCGCTTAACAACCAGGTTACTAACTTATCAACTGGACTCATTCACTTAACATCTGAGGCAAAAAAGGTCGTAAAATGGGACAAAATTCACTTAACAAATGTTTCACTTAACAACAGAAATTTTCGGATCAATTGTGGTCGTAAGTTGAGGACTACCTGTACTTGCACATTTATATAACACTGATAGGTTCCCAGGGGTGAAATCCAGCAGGTTCTGGAGAACCCGTAGCGGAAATTTTGAGTAGTTCGGAGAACTGGCAAATACCCCTCTGGCTGGCCCCAGAGTGGGGTGGGAATGGAGATTTTGTAGTATCCTTCCCCCAGGAATGGGGGGGGAGAATGGGGATTTTGCAGTATCCTTCCCCTGGAGTGGGGAGGAAATGGAGATTTTGCAGTATCCTTCCCCTGCCACACCCACCAAGCCACTCCCATAGAATCGGTAGTAAAAAAAATTTGGATTTCACCACTGATAAGTACCTTCAGAAAAGTGCACACCAAGAAAAACTAGCCCAGAACCAAAAGACAAATGAATATTAACTGAGTTAACAATGGCTGATTAAAATAAAATGGCCTATTTATAAAATTAAGTGATCCTTCATCTGAAGGTATCAACTAATTTCTAATCCCACATAAGCCACTCTCACAAAACACTCAAGTCAACATACAGAGACTTCAAATCCCAGAATTCCACATGAGCTGGGAATCCCGAATATGGATATTTGGAGGGTGTCAGTTTGGAAAAATATAATATATGCTGGATTCAGGCACTATGCTAAGCTGTAACACAGTTCCTTCGGTTTTAGCTCAATATGTTGAGCCAAAATATCTGAAACTCAGATATTTGGGTTTATAAATTTGCTTTGGTATGATGTACAAATCCAGTAAATTGTGAGTTATTCAGCCAGCCTTGGTGAAGCACAATTTGTCAGTTGGATTACAGAAGCGATAAGATTTAGAATTTCAGCTGCGCGTCAAATGGAAGGCTGAAATTTTAAAGTATTTTGCTAGAGAGAAATTCCAGCTCATTTGAATGCTACGATTGGAATTGGAGACTAGAATGTGGGAGAGCAGTATTTCCCAACCTTTACTGGTTCCAGATGTGGGTTCAATTCCCAGAAGTGTTAGCAATGGCCAACCTGGGTGGGGACATCTGGAAGTTGTGGTGTCCAAAGAGTAGGAACAAAAGAAGTCAAGACAGTACATAAAAATAGGTGGAGCTTTGATTTCACAGTCAAAGCCGCAATCTTGATTGCTTCAATCCCACTTTGTGGACCCTTCTGAAATGGACAAGATTTGCCAAGTCCTGCAGTGTAGTAAAACAAGAATAAGTCCTTTCTTCCACAACAGTCTCATACCTTGGCCTTCTGCAAAGTCTACTCATTAATAGGATCCCTGCTTAACTGAGATTTATTTCATGGTTTGTATTTTATTTCAGTGGTCTTCCAGAAGCAGGAACAGAAGCCACAGTCGCAGTCGTAGTGTTAGCCCTCTGCCTTGTAGTACAGGCTACTCTCGGAATTTGGTAAAGTAACATAAACTGATCAGCATAGTAGTTCAAAATAAGATGCATTCCCAGGAGTATGCACTGAAGGCAACATTATTATTATTATTATTATTATTATTATTATTATTATTATTATTATTATTATTATTATTAAACAAGAACAAGACTACTCAAAATATGGGACTGGGAGATAAGGATATGGTGTGGTTCAAAACACTCTGATTATGTGTGCAGAATTATTACACTTCCTCAGTCCCATAGTTGTCTGCATGGATGGAATTCTGCTTGTAAAACAGGTGAAAAACCCAACCCCCATTTGTGGTCCTTAACCCTAAACCTGAGGTGTGCGAACACAATTCGATGGTAAGGAAAACAAGGGAGGAAGGGGAATACCTGAAGACCACTTTAAGGTACCTCCACTATGGTTTGGGATAAGGGAAAGGCAGGCGTGGGCTCCTGGGGGTTTGGCAGGAGGTTTGGGGGGGTTTGGGTAATCCTCTAGCCAAGGATCGCCAGGGTTTGGCAAACCCCCAAATGCCATCCCTGGCTGGCTAATCCTAAACCTACCGGAGATCCCAGATGTTCGGAAACGGGCCTGTTTCCGGCCTCCGGAGGGCCTCCAGACCCCTGGGAAAGCAGTTTTCGCCCTCCCGGAGGCTCAAGGAAATCCTCTGGAGCCTGGGGAGGGCAAAAAACACTCCCCCGCCGTGATGCAGGCGGCCGATTAGGCCACGCCCACCATGGCCACACCATCCAGCAACAGGGCAGCGAATCCGTTGCCAAAGGATCTGAAGCCCACCCCTGGGGAAAGGCAATGTCATGAGGACATTGCATAGAAAAATGGTTAACATGAGGATGAGTTGTTAGGGATTTATAGAAGTCCACTAATCTCCAATGCTCGTTTATAGCTCAACTGTCGCAGATTTTGGCAACCTTATAACTCAAAGCAGGCCATGTGTGGCCCTTCAACGATCATTTTTGCAATCTTTGGTGGCCTCATAGAAATGCTTTGTCTCTCCATCTAGCAGTAAACTGTAATCTTTGGAACGAGGCCCCCAGAGATTGAAAATAGTAACCCAAGCCTTACTCTCAAATTTCTCCTTCTAAGAGATCAAAGAAACATCACCCAAGTTTGCCCCAGTCCAACCTCACCTACTTCGAAACCATCATCCCTTCTTCAAAAGTTGTAGGTGACGAAAGGTCCACTCTTCTTACTAAAAACAGGCAATGCAGAGGGGCTTATTGGAAGACGATGGATTGTTCAATTCTAAGTGCAAAATGATTATGTTTTCTTCTGGGTTGAATGGTTTATGCAAGAGAGTTGCAGCTTCCTTGGTCCAGGAGCAGCTGGAAAAGGTATAGGAAGCTTCTTAATGGGGAGCTACAATAAATTGTCTCATCCAGCTGTGGGGCCACCAAAGTGGTGTGATGAAGATGTGGGCCCACTTAGGACGTGAGGCTCATGCCAGCACATTATTCTCCTGGCTCAAGGACTGGTGGACTGCTCTTTAACACAGTTGTCTGGTAGGGCTATTGGAGGCGGAATGCCAACATCTAAATCAGCGTTTCTCAACTTTGGCAGCTTGAAGATATGTGGACTTCAACTCCCAGAATTCTCCAGCCAGCATGGTAGGTGGAGAATTCTGGGAAGTTCAACTATATGATTGTTAAATGGCAGTAGAGCAATACACAACATTCTAACCGATCTAATTTACTTTGGAGAATGAATGCCTTCAGTGATCAAATATATAGGCCTTAAAAGTAGTCTTAGTCAGGGGTGAAATCTACTTACCTTCCCTACTGGTTCAGAAGTGGACACGCCGGACCCTCTGCGCATGTGCAGAGAGTAAAAAACAGGTTACTTCCTGGTTAAAACCAGGAAGTAACGTCGATCAGGCGGGTGGGCGGAACCTCACACTGCCATCGCTACCGGTTCACTGAACCACCTGTCGCCATCGCTACCGCTTCAGCCGAACCGGTCTGAACCGGTAGCATTTCACCCCTGGTCTTAGTGCTTCATGCACTAAGAAGTATTCCAGTTGTGGCAATGTAGGCACACTGAGATTATCATTATAAAACAGTACAATTTTTCATTCCATCTAATCTGATGGCGTGTGTTCAATGCAGATTTGTTTTTTCTAGAGTAAAAGGAAAGGAGATGAATCAAAATATCTTTTTTTTTGTGTGTGTTTTAGACAATTCGAAGCCGGAGCCCTTCCCCATTAAGGAACGGAAGCCCAAGTAAGTGGGCCTTTTCAGAATGTAGGCCGTCGTGGATTTAAATTCAAATTTAATTTACTATAAAATGATAATCAAGTAAAGAGACAATATATAATTTTCCAGGCTGGTTTTTTTCCTTCTTTAAAACCAATGCTCTTTGGTTGCACTGTTTTAACATAAATAGTTTCCCTTAATGATGTTAAGGATAGGGTGTATAGAATTCCTTATGTCATTTTATATCCAAGCATTCCCATATCTCTTAATATTTGCTGCAGTTATTAGCATTCATGGTCCTTTTTTAAGGGTTACAGTATCTTTAGGGAAATAAAACAGCAAATGAGGGATCTATTCAGAACTAAGAAAAATTATTAATAAATGCAGATAATTCTATGCTGCGTATAGGTACTCACTATACTATAAATTACATCAACATGCTAGAGAAAGCCAATTCCAGGTACCGTATTTTTCGGACTATAAGACGCACCTACCTTTTTTTGGTGAGGAAAAGAAGAAAAAGAAATCTACCTCTGCCTCCCAGCAATTTTGCCTCGTTGCAGCAAACAGCAAACAGCTTGCTTTACGTATTTTCGTTTTCAGCATAGCTTGATTAGCACAAGAAAAAAAAAATCTGCTCCAGCAATTTACCTCTTTGCAGCAAGCAGCAGAGGCCCGCGCAAAGCAGCTGAGAGCAAAACAGCTGAGAGTCGGGAGGCCGAGCCAATCAACTTGTGCTAATTAGGCTGTGCTGAAGCAGAAAGGAGCTGTTTCTTCTTGCTGCTTGTAGCAAGGAGGTAAATTGCTGGGAGGCAGAGGCCAAATGGTGGGGACCAGTGGATGGGCACGGCTACATTCAGTGTATAAGACACACCCAAATTTTCGCCCCCTTTTAGGGGGAGGGAAGTGCATTTTATACTCCGAAAAATACTTAACCTTTGGCTAACTAATAGACCAACCCATCTTTCTTGCTCAAAAGTAACAATCAATACACAAGGGAAAACAAGATTGTAAATAGATACTTTACTATTTCTTATTTGAAATAACGTACTGCAGAGTTACTTTGGGGGTGAGAGGAGAATTTATACATAATGCTATATCCATATACATTTTTTTCCTCCAATAGGAAAGTAGATTCTCCAATAGGATATGGGTTTTTTTTGATTCTGTACATCTCGATCAATCTGCTTCTACGGTGCCTTCTCCTGTTCCAGCAGTACCTCAAACTACACTTAAAATAATGTGAACAACTGTTTTGAATGCCTCTGACAAAGATTAGTATGTTTTTATAACTTTGCTTTTTTAAAAAACAAAATGAATGCAACCATGATTTTAAAATTGCATATGCATCTTAAGGTTTCTTGATCTTTAAAGATTGTTTACATAGCTTGTGACATCACTTCCTTTGCGGGAATTCGGAGGGAGAAATAGGATAGGATGCAAACATTCAATATATTGCATTGAGACTTTTAGGATTTATTTTGAGGACTGCAATATGTTGAGGCTGCATTCATATATCGTATGTATTTGTTTGCATCTGAGTTTTGATTAAACTCTGTGGGACTTAATACAGAGTAGATGTTTTTAAGAGTGCATGGTATGGGTGTCTTTTGAAGTATAATCACAAGATGGTGCTTATTTAGGGCATTTGAAGTCCAACTGTAATAAACGGAATGAAAGATGCCTATTGTTGTTAAGATCAAGCCCAGTAAAAATATATAGCTATATTTTCATGGAAATATGATAGTAACATTGTGGTTTTTACATAATTATATAACTGCTGATGTAAGAATTAGAAGTTTTATTTCAGCAGTAGACATGTACTCAATTTCACAATAACAGTGAGTAATTTTTTTTCATTGTTCATGACCGTCTAAATAAAACACCATCTTCATTTTTAAACCTATAAGAAATATATACAGCACTTAGATTTTTGAAACACATTTTCATTAAGAGAATGTTTTACAGGGTTACCTACTGGAACATCCATTTTCTTCTCTTTAAGGAATTGACTCTCTGGCTTCACTTAATGCCAGAACTAATGTGCCCTTAAATCCGTATAATCAGAAGGAACCAGGGGTGGGATTCTACTGGTTCAGACCGGTTCGAGCGAACCGGTAACTCCGACGATCAGCTTGGTGCAAAACCGGTTCGCTCCAATGATCAATTGGGCCCGCCCGCCTGCCCCTGCACTTTACTTACCTTTATCTTCACAGCTGATTAACATGGCAGAGCAGATTGCTGTGCTTCAGCTGTTTTAATTCCCTAGCACTAACGCGGAAGGTGATTTTTTATTGAACTGCGCGGGCAGCTTGGTGTGGGTGCGCGCCAAGCGCGCGATCACCAAACCAATAATAAACTGGAAGGATCCCACCACTGGAACGAACCCAAATGCTCCATACACTGTTTCATTTTTTTTGTAGAAAAACAAAGGTTTTTGTAGCAGCACCTACAGTTTTAACAAATTTATTCATGAATTCGCTTGGTATTTTACAGTCCCATTCACCATATACATGGCATATACAGATAGTGAAGTATTATTTATACATGTATACCAGTGGTGGGTTCCTCCCGGTTCAGCCCGGTTCGGCCGAGCTGGTAGCGGTGATGATGTGACATCATCAAACCGGTTCTCTTTGTTCGGGAACTGGGCCCCCCTGCGTTATTCTTACCTTTTATTTGGCCCTGCCCCCAATCTATTCGCTGCCTCCCGAGTCCCAGCTGATCGGCTAGAAGGAAAAAAACTGTTTAAACTCTTGCCGCGGGGCTTCAAAGGGCTGCCCTACAGCTGATCAGTGTTAAAAGGCAGTGAGGTGGTAGATCAGTGCGCTCCGAAAACAAACGGGTAGACCGGTGCCTCCAAAAACAAATGAGTAGACCGGAATGCTCCAAGAACAAATGGGTAGACCGGTATAGCTCTGCAAGCAGTTAAAAACCTAGTAGACCAGTACCTCTGCTAAATCCTAAAGAATTGTCACATGACCATCAAACCACGCCCACAAAATAAACCACGCCCACAGAACCAGTAGTAAAAATTTTTAGAACCCACCCCTGATGTATACCTGTGTGCCTTCAAGTCAGTGTTGACTTACCTGGACAAGACCCTGAAGTTTTCTTGGTGATAGTTTTGGAAGTAATTGATCATGGCATTTTTCCTCAGGCTGAGAGAGAGAGTGACTGACCCTAAGTCATTCAGCTGGATTGGTGCCTAAGTTTGGGACACAAACTCAGGCTTGGGGGAATGGACAAAGGATTGACGAGAAACAACATTATCTTAAGTAGCAGACATAAACAAAATGTGACAGATCTGAGCTTGCACTGAATTGCTGGTTAAGGAATTCGGTGCAGTGATCTTTACCAAGCAAACATATTTTAGCTAAAAGCAGTGATAGCTGATATTGTTACTTCTAATGTTTGGATCTTTTTTTAAAATCAATTCCTTTTTTTTTGTATGGGTATGTGTGTGCATGCTGCTGGATAATCTTTTTGGTTGCTTTTTAAAAAAAAAAAATCAAATATATAGTCTCATTATTGTTTTGGACCAAAGATAATTGATTTATAGGGTGTGTATTAAATTTTTAGAAAAAACATGGTTTTTATTTTTTAATTAAGACTGAGTCTTTAAGCTTAAAAGCAAAACATATAAACCGAACATTTCTGTATCTGATCTGCAAAAGCTGTAGATGGCAGTAAAGATTTAATTTTTTTGGTATATCATTGCTGCCATCTGGTGGTGGTATGGATCTCTGTATGCCCAAAATGGTAGCCTTAATGAAAGGGCATACACACTCAAGAGAAGAAGTCAATTTAAGATCCCTGGTCTTCATTATGCCTCATTCTGCTACTTTGAAAGGGACATGGGGTAAAGCTAGTGTAGAAAAATATGATGGTGACATAATTTCAGGTCTATTGCGAAGTCTTTTACACACTCAAGTAAGTGAATTTATCAGGTATCTTTCTAGAGATCATGTTTGCATTTTTGCCTCCTCTTTTTTTTTTCATAGAAGCTGTGATCCTTGGACTGGGTAGACCTGAGGTTTAATCTTTTCTCCCCTCTGCCTCCCGCTAATAATTGGGGAATTTCTCCAATTCTGAAACTGGCCTATCTCAAAAGGCTGGCTTCTCATTTAGAAAGATGGATCTTTCTAAAGTAATACTACCATGACATCCCATAAGAGAGGAATAATTGCAGTAATGGTTGCAAGATAACTTTGTGGGGAATCTAAAGGTATAAACAGGGTATCTTGTTATTAAAGTTCCTTCAAAAAATATGGTATTCCAACACATCGTTATATGTCAGCCACATTTTAAATACTTTTTAAAAAATTGTATTGCTCTGAACGTGTAATCAGAAACTTGTGTATTGCCACCAATTCTTTAAAATATATTATTCTGGATTCCTGTTGCAAGAACTCAATTGTTTTATTTTTGTGTCTGTGTGTGTTTTAAATCTGTTACTTCTTAGGGAATAATGAAATCTGGTCGCTTGTCTGAAAATATGTTTACAACATACCACTTGAACAGACTGCTAATGTCATATGTCCACAATTACATTTCATATAGTGCCTAAAAATCCTGACTGTTTTTACATAACCAAAAAAAAAAAAAAATGCAATGAGCAATATTTCTGTTTAGCCTCCGAAGACAGTATTAAATAAGCTTATGGATAAATAGACATGTTTGTAATCCAAAAAGTGCATTATTTCATTTTATGGTGACATAAAAATGGCACCGGTGTCTGCAGAGAGGTGAAGGAAAAAAAAAAAAGACAAGATGGCAGCCATAGCAACTTGATTGAAGAGATGGCATTTCAGTCACTTGCCATGGCTACCTCTTGCCTTTTGTGATTCTTTCCGCCCCCCGCCCCCAGGGGTCTGTATGTGTAGACATTAGGATATTTTAGCCAGGTTATATTAAAGAATGGCTTGGGCAAATAAGAAATAGAATCATGTAATATGTCCTAGTCCAGTAAGGGAGAACATTTTAGACATCGAGTGCCCAAACTGTGCACGCACATGCCCAAACTGAAAGGTGTGCGCACACATGTGCGGATGTGTGTATGCACAGATGTGCGCATGCATGCACATGCACAGACATGCACGCACATGTTGTGGTCCGCCAGCAGCCTGCGGAGCTGGCAGCGGAGTCGGACAGTGAGGAGGCTGGGGAGGAACATGGGCCAGTCCTGGAGTCTGGGGAAGGCTCAGCCGAGGGTTCTGCGTCGGAGGCAGAGATGGGGCCAGGGCCATTGGGGAGTTATGCGCAGACTCCGGAGCCCCCAGAATCAGACTTCAGAGAGGCAGAGGAACAGGAGAAGCCTGTTCCTAGTGTGCGCATGCGCAGAGCTGCCAGAAGGCAAGATCACTTAAAACTAAAGGGACGACTCGGGAGTAAGGCCTGGAGATGATTGGCTCCTCCCATAAGGCTTAAAAGAGGAGCAAAGGCACATGGGCCCTTTGCAGGAAAGCAACATTGTTAATTCTGTTCCCAGTCGGCATCTCTGTTTGATTCTGGACTCCGTGTGGCTTTGCCAAGTAGGTCTTTGGCAGAGTGTCAAGAGAGATAAAGATTGGTGACTATCCTGAAGGACTTCTCCTGAAGGACTTTTTGCAACTAATTGGGACTCAGCTGGGAATGAACGTAATTCACAGCTGTTGCAATAAAAGAGGTTTTTGGGACTACTCGTCCGAAATGATGAGTTTTAATGATTCAGGAAGCCTAGGTCTCAACAGCACATGCACAGACATGTGTGGAGCAGCAGAGACCCGAAGACCAGCTGGCTGGCAGGAGGTGGGGCATCCCAACACCGGCAGCGCGGCAGGAGGTAAGATCTTTTTCGTGAGCTTCTGTTTTGTCGTTTGCAGGGAAACAGAAGCTCACGAAAGAAACACCACGGAGATCTGATCTGGGGCGACGGCGCATGTGCCAGCAGAGTGGGCCCTGTGTGCCACCTCTGGCACATGTGCCATCGGTTTGCCATCATGGTCCTAGTCCACATTGGTTAAGGGATGTGGGCTGTGATACTGAACCTGTCACCCGGGGTCTTGAAGAGAACGAGACAGACAGCAGTTTCCCATTGTTGCTCCAGGTGCAACTTTGCACTCTCCTGAAGATCAAAGAGAGAAGAGGAGGGACTAAAAGAATTGATTCCACATTCCTAAAACGTTCTGATAGCCGATTGTTTTTTTTTTTTGCTACATCGCTTAATGAAAATCTTGGCAAATTACAGCCAGCCATTTTGGCATCCGTTCAGGAGCCAGAACAAAAATGAAATTATTGGGGGGTTTTGTGTGTGTGTATGTGTGTGTGTCAATCCTCTTTTGAGTCCTAGATCCATTTCCTGTCATAGATGCAACGGCATTGCCGCTGTGGGTTTGCGCCTGAAATACTTCGCACCAGGGGTGGCTTCTACTTATTTTTACTATCATTTCGCAACGGGATCGCGCCTGCACAGATCACCGATGACAACATCCGAGGCGGTGGGCGGAGCCTCCTGACGGTTTTACTACCAATTCTTGCGAACCGGTCCGAACCATCCATAAAGCACCCCGATTCAACGCTTACTGTACTATCCATAGGCAGTGTAGCAGTGGCCTTAACAGCGACCCCCCACCAGATGGCGCTCCTGTTCAATACATCCACCATTAATGAGAGGCCATATGTGTGTGACATATAGATTGTGTACTTGGAGGAAGGGCTTCACCTGAGCACAACTCCTCTCTGCCTGGCATTAAAGCAGCTCCTCTTTCCCTATAACCTGAAAAGTGGCAGCTGCTTTGATGAGACACCTCATTAGGAGGTGCCAGCGCCAAAGGAGATGCCTGCTTTAATGGAGAGCACGGATGGGCTGTATTTGCAAGGGACAAACCAGTTTATATGCACCTCCATTTGCATTTTATATCAACAGCGTAAACCAAACCAAATAAAAGCACACAAAGACATGGTTTTTAGACAAAAGTACAGATGTCAAAAATGCAAATGACTGCCGTCCTTGATCACTCACTGATGTGGATTGAATTGCATTCGATTCATTCAATGTGGTAATCCAAAATTTAACTGCATTATGATTAGAGTAGAGTTCCCCAACCTTTCTAGCTTGGCGGCCCTGAGGGGGAGGAGCAGGTGTCGTCATGTGTGCGTGCGCGCACGCAAATGGAGCTGCTAGCGCCCACACGATATGCACAGTGATGGTAACGCAAATGGTGTGTGTGTGCACACAGGCACGCACTGGCCAGCCATTCTCACAGCATGGTGGCCAATAGGCCACGGCCCGGTAATGGGTTGCAGCAGGGATGGGTTCTACTTACCTTTACTACCGGTTTGCAATGAGATCGCGCTTGCTTACTTCACTCGCGTGTGTGCCTTGCTTCTGCGCGTAAGTTGGAAGATCTGATTGAAGTTTTTTTTTTTTTTGCCCCACAAGCTTCTTTGGTTTCCCTGCATGTTTCTTCCGTTTGCAAGATCCCGTACCCTTCAGTCTGATAAAATAACCGAGAATTTGATGAATGGCAAAAGTTGGTTAAGAGAACGAGCTGCCTCCAACTGCCCCTTTTTAATTAAAATGATGTTGAAGCGCTTAAGCCATTGAGCATAATCCAAAGCACCTGAGAGCAGGACAAGAAGCAATGAGTGGAAACTAATCAAGGAGAGAAGCAATTTAGAACTAAGGAGAAATTTCCTGACAGTTAGAACAATTAATCAGTGGAACCACTTGCCTCCAGAAGTTGTGAATGCTCCAACACTGGAGGTGTTAAGACTCTTTAAGTCTTAACTTAACTCTTTAAGTCTTAACTTTAACACTGGACTCTTTAAGAAAAGACTGGACAACCATTTTTCTGAAATCTGCCTGCCTGTGCAGGGGGTTGGACTAGAAGACCTCCAAGGTCCCTTCCAACTCTATTCTATTTTGTTCTGTTCTATTTTCTATTCTATTGTATCTTCTCTTCTCCTCTCCTCTCCTCTCCTCTCCTCTCCTCTCTTCTCCTCTCCCCTCCCCTCCCCTCCCCTCCCCTCCCCTCCCTTCCCTTCCCTTTCCTTCTATTCTATTCTATTTGGCTATGCCAGGGGTCTGCAACCTTAAACACTCAAAGAGCCATTTGGACCCATTTTCCACAGAAAAGAAAACACCAGGAGCCACAAAACCTGGGTGGGCATGGTCAACTCGATGTCACTCACTTCCACCAGTCACATGATCCCCTAGCCACGCCTACCCATCCAGTCATTAGGGCAGAGAACTGGCTGTTAAGAAACACTGGGAACCACAAAACCCTTTTGACATCTCTCTCTCCCCTCCCTCCCTCCCTCCCCCTCTCTCTGTATCTCTCTGTCTCTACTCTGGCCACTTCTCCATCCCCCGCCGTTGCCTTTACCTTCTCAGGTCAGGCAAGGAGTGACTGGGAGGGGAGGGTGAGGCCAGCCAGTGGTGGGATCACCTGACAGAGATCCACAGCAGAGGGCCCAAAGAGCCACATGCAGCTCTGGAGCCACCGGTTGCTGACACCCAGACTATGCCATGCTTAAAAAGAAGAAATGGACTGGTTGCACTGGCTAAATAGGAAGATGAGCAGCGACAGCAATATCCATAATTTATTTTAAAGATTTTACCATAGATAGAAGTAGAATGGATAACATGCTCTTGTTCTGTCCCCGTCTCACACACGCACACAAACAGACAGCCGGAGGTTAAATAAACTGGCAGACAAACAATTCTTCCGATAAGAAGCTTGGCAGCAACCCAGTAGCTGCTTGCCAAGAACTTTACTCATAAACAAAATACACACAGTCAAGAATTGTCCAGTTCGTAAAATAAATCCAAGGCTGATAATGTTGTTTCCAAATATGCAATGTGACTCTATAGTAGTTAGTTTTGTCCGTCACAGAGTCTGAATGGCCACCTCACCCCCTTTTATACCCTGTGGGGTGTGGTCCAGTGACTCAGCTTAATCTCTGGCACGCCTCTTCTTCTGTTGCGCGCGCTTATCTCTGCGACGTTGCTGAGGATCCAGCCAAGACTCATTTCCCTCATCACTGTCCACCTGTGGCTGCGTGGACGTGCTTGGCCCCGGCCCTATCTCTTGCCCTTCGGCGGACACCAAAGGCATTGCCAGAGAGGAGGGTCCTGGAGAGGGAAGCCTTGCCTACTCCTCTCCTTCACTCTCGGAGTCCTCTCCTGCCGATGACACAGGCTCAGGTAATGGAGCCACAACAGCTCTCTTCCCCATGATTCAAACAATTAAGACAATTTCCCCCTCCCTTTATTAAAAGAAAGTCTTAAGAGTATATTTGGACCAGATTCCCCCAGTGTTACTTACTCACCTGTTTATTATCCATCCATTAAACATTAGACAACTGATTGCAGGCAGTCCCTGCCTTAACAACCGTAGTCGGGACCAGGATTTCAGCTGC